TGCAAGAAAACAAGCAAGCTCAGAGAGCACCAAGGACCCCACAGTCCTCCTCCTCCTCTCTGCAAATTCCACTCTCTTCTAGCACTGACGATGTTCCCTAGTTGGGTCATGAAATGTCTGCAAGAAAACAACCCCACAATCGTCGTCATTGTCGTCCTCCTCCTCTCATCCCACACTCTCTCCTAGCACTGAGGACGTTCCCTAGTCTGGCGAATGAAACGTCTGCAAGTTCAAAGGGCACCAAAGATTTGCTTTTCGAACGGAAACAGAAATTCAACGTGCCTCCTAGGACAACAAACGCTCTTTGAAAAGCCGAGCTGTGACAGTACGCACATTATCATCCAGGAAGCGAATGTATTCTCGGCCGAAGGTCCCGTCGGGAAGCCCCCGAAGTCCAGCTACATCCAAGGTGGAAAGGCGGATCCAAGGCCGCTCTCTGCGAAGGAAAACAATGGAATTGCAGGCAGCAGTTCAGCAGGTCATGAAAGGGTCCATTGGACACATGGTGGGCCTCTCTTTAGGGATTAGTTTGGTCCAACAGAGGTGAGGTCCGCTGGCCCCGGTCCAGCTGAATCTCAACTTCCCTGGGTTTTGCGGGATCAGCTCGTAAACCAAGATTCATCTTTATTTATGGGGTTTTTTTCAATGAATGCTGGTTAAGCACAAGGTGACACGCTCACCAATACCACTAGACCAGGGGTAGGCAACCTTGGCCCTTTTATGACTCATGGACTTCAACTCCCAGAATTCCTGAGCCAGCCATGCTGAGGGGAAAGGGAGAGGTTTCCAAGCTGAGCCATGCTGGCTCAGGAATTATGGGAGTTGGAAGTCCACGAGTCATGAAGGGGCCATAGTTCCCCCATGCTGGCTCAGGAATTCTGGGAGTTGAAGTCATAAAAGAGCCAAGGCTGACTACCCCTGCACTAGACCAAGCCTTGGTTGTGGAAGACTTCCAACTGTGCTGGTTTTTAACCTACACAGCTTTCAATAAAAATATAAATGAACATCTCAGCTTTTGGGCCCCAACATTGTTAAGAGTTCAGGGAGTCCTCAAGTTACGACAGAACCCGACATTTCTGCTCTAACTGACAGATTTTTTTTAAGTGAGCGTTGCCCCATTTGATGGCCGTTCTCGCCATAGTTGTTAAGTCAGTGGTCATAAGACACTTTCCTTCAGTGCCATTGTAACTTTACACAGTCACTAAATGAACCACTGTAAGTGGTGGACTTCCTGCAGTGAAAGTGTATTCACTAATTCACAGAAGTTTTTTTTCAGATTTATCTCCATAAAAATCATCCCGTCTGTCTGGGCTGCAGGCTAAAAGAAAGAGATTCACTTACTGGAGGACCTGCCTTCCTTCCGGGTCGTTCTTCATCTGTTCCCAGAGATTCTTTAAAGCTATTGAACCTGTTGTCTCTCCCAGGACGGCTACCATATCTGGAAGGAGGAGGGAAGAAGGAAAAAAAAAGGAGAGGGAGTGATACAACGCAGCCGTAATAGCAATGGCAGCAGCAGTTGGACTTATATACCGCTTCACATTGCTTTAAAGCCCTCTCTGACGAACAGATAATAGACATAGACAGACAGACAGACACAGAGATAGATAGATAGATAGATAGATAGATAGATAGATAGATAGATAGATAGATAGATAGATACGGATAGATAGATAGATACGGATAGATAGATATGGATGGATAGATAGACAGATAGATAGATAGATAGATAGATACGGATAGATAGATAGATAGATAGATAGATAGATAGATAGATAGATACGGATAGATAGATACGGATAGATAGATATGGATGGATAGATAGACAGATAGATAGATAGATAGATACGGATAGATAGATAGATAGATAGATAGATAGACAGACAGACAGACAGACAGACAGACAGACAGACAGGCAGGCAGACAGGCAGACACACAGACAGAGACACAACACCACAACACCCAGCTCACCGTGGCGATAGGGGTTGTAGAGGGACATAAAGGCTGAGCCGGCTGTCAACAGGCATTTTTGCAAGACGCTGGTGGGGATGTGGTTTGGATAGAGTGGGAAATGGCTTGCTTCTTGCAGGGGGCTCAGGAAAGCTGCGAGGGGGCTGGTGTGGCTAATTGGTCGCCCTGCACGGAAGACAAAGGGTTAAAGTTAGAGAATCAGAAACATTTCAAGACTTTAGTTTGTTTGTTTTTTCTAACTTTCCAAAGCCCTGGAATGCAGTCAAAACCCAAGCAGCATTTAATACATGCGTTTTTTTTCCCCCCCAGTTGAAGTCCACATGCCTTAAAATTGTCAAGGTTGAGAAACACTGCCATAAGAGCCTCATCACAGCCTTGAGATTTTGGCTAGGAGCAGAAAATGTCTTTGATGCTTTATTGATTGCCACGTCTTTTAAGGATTGTGATGAGCTGCGCAGAGCCACTGAGAGTCGGGGGCTGTGCAAGTTTCCTGAATTAGAATAGAAGAGAGCTGGAAGGGACCTTGAAGGTCTTCTAGTCCAACCCTCAAGCAGGAGACCCTAGACCAGGGGTCCCCAAGCCCTGGTCCATGGACCGGTCCTGGGCTGTGACATGCCAGCATCCGGTCCGCACAAACAGGCCCCAAACAGAAAGGGAGGACATCCCAACTAAGGAGGTTCACCACCAGCTTCTGTTCTAGGTGAGTCAATCTCCTTAGTCTTCCTCGGTGGTCTTCAAGCAGACAAGCTAATCTAGGACTTGACTCTGCAAGGGTTAATCTCTATCAGAATAGAGCTGGAAGGGGAGGTCTTCTAGTCCAGCCCCCTGCTCAAACAGGAGAACCTATACCCTCTCAGACAAGTGACTGTCCAGTTTCTTCTTAAAAACCTCCAGTGATGGAGCACCCACAACTTCTGGTGGCAAGTTGTCCCACTGGTTAATTGTCCTCACTGTCAGGAAATTTCTCCTTAATTCCAAGTTGCTTCTCTCCTTGATTAGCTCTCCTCCATTGTTCTTTCTCCTGCCTTCTGGTGCTTTGGAGAATAATTTGACCCCCCCTCCTCTTCTTTGTGGCAGCCCCTCAAATGCTGGAACACCGTTATCGTGTCGTTAAAATTAAACTGAATTAAAATGCACCGCTGCTGAGGTTAAGAGTTTTGGTAAGAATGCATGTAAAACACGATCCGTTCTCTACCTACAACAAAAGAGCGTTACAAATTGCGTGGCTGCAAGGTGAGGGACATGTAAATTTACTGTAAAAAAAAAAAAAAGCAGATATCAGAAAGCGATGAAAGTTTGGCAAGGAGACCAGGACCAGACAGAAGACTTGCCTATGAGCCAGGAGGACTCCAAAACATTTCCCACGTTCCCTATCCAAGGCAGGAATTTCAGAGCACGACTGGACAGCAATCTGTGCATAGTTGGGATCTTCCTCTGCGGGGCAAAACTCTGCAAAAAAGAGGGTTTTTTTTTTTTTTTAAAGTGCATTTTTCAGAGCAGGTAAGGTAGCCCTGGAGACTATCAAAGGCATTGCAAGCAAAGGACGGGATAAGAGACTGGATGGCCATTTGTCCGAAATGGTATAGGGTTTCCTGCCTGAGCAGGGGGTTGGACTAGATGACCTCCAAGGTACCTTCCAACTTTTATTATTATTATTATTGATCATCGCACAGTCAGCCAGATGTTCAGACTGGATTTGGCATTTTGTCTACCTATCGAGTTCTTACCCAGGACCTGGGATAGGCAGATGTGGATGTTTGATGGTATTACAGGTATCGTCACGGGATGGAAGCAGTTCCTAATAAGGCCACCTTTTGCAATTGACTAATAGCGAATTTGTCAGTGCCAATGGTGTTCAAGTGGTGCTCCAGTTGTTTTGGGATTGCACCTAAGGAGCCTATTACTATTGGTACTACCCTTGCTTGCTTTTGCCACAGTCTTTCTATTTCTATTTGTAGGTCTTTGTATTTTGCTATTTTCTCCAGTTCTTTCTATCATCATCATCATCATACGCGGTGCTACAGCGCCACCATCTGGCCAGAACTCTCGCGTCAGAGCAAAAGAGAAAGTGGAGAGTGCCCTCTAGTGGCCGTCTCCAAAGAAACTCGTGTGAACAAGCAGCATCTGCAAAGCGAGGATTTTGCTGGGATTTTAAAAACGAATTTTGGAAAATTGCTGTGGGTTGGGAGGGCAGGAAAGCGGCGTAATTCTCCGCGGGGCAAAAGGGAGAAAGGGGAGGGGATACACGCATATAGGACCCCAGACTCTCCACCATCACCCCTCCAACTGTTGCACTCGGCTGTGGCGGCCAAAGTCCACCCTTTCCAATCCAGCAGGGGGAAAAAAAAAATCGGATTTTTATTTTTTTTCCCTGGCTGGAAAAATGGTTTTTTCTGCAAAGCGGATGCGGTGAAAGTAACCAGGATTTTAAAACTATTCCCATGTATGAACACACACGCAAAGTCTACGAGAGCAGCCCTCAACCTTGTAACCTTTTCAGCTGGGTGGACTTCGATTCCCAGAATCCTCCGGTCAGTAGGCTGGGGGATTCTGGGAGTTGAAGTTCACCCAGCTTCGAGGGGAGAAGCAAGGTCGAGCAACGTTGCCTGGGGGGGGGGGAGACACCAGATCTGTATTCCTTTGGCGGAGGGAAAGGCTGGCGGCTCCCCAGTGTTGCGTTCCAAAGCCCATCCTCCGCAGCCTGCAAGGGCAAGGTGGAGAGAGAGAGAGAGGGAGCCCCGAGGGAGCCGTAAACGCCCTCTGTGCTCGAGCCACTGACCTCCAGACGCTTTGCGCTCCGATCCTTCCCACCGCGGAGTATTCTGGATCTAGGGACTCTGTGTGTGTGTGTGTGTGTGTGTGTGTGTGTGTGTGTGTGTGTGTGTGTGAGAGAGAGAGAGAGAGAGAGAGAGAGAGAGAGAGAGAGAGAGAGAGAGAGACTTGTTCGCCCTCTGGATCTAGGGACTGTGTGTGTGTGTGTGTGTGTGTGAGAGAGAGAGAGAGAGAGAGAGAGAGAGAGAGAGAGAGAGAGAGAGAATTATCCGCCCTCTGGATCTAGGGACGGGGTGTGTGTGTGTGTGTGTGTTTATGTGTGAGCCAGTGTGTGTGTGTGTGTGTGTGTGTGTCTTGGAGTTGTCCGCCCCTCGGCCGAGCGAGCCCCTTTTGCAAAGACCCCAACCCGGGTCTTCCCGGCAGCCCCCCAACCCTCTTGGCACGGCTCCCCGGGCGCGCCGGCAGCCGCTTTCGCTTTGCGCGTCTCTCGCCTTGGAGACGGCCGGCTGGCTGCTGGGGCGGACGGGCTCGTGTTCCCGGGGGGACTCTATTTCCAGTCGGGCTCAACCCGGCAGCGCTAGGGGGAGCGGAGAGGCGGTTGCACCGGCCGAGGACGGCGGCGGCGGGGAGGGCACCATGCGGGCGGCGGCGGGCACGGCTTTGCAAGGGCTCTTCGCCGTCTACAAGCCGCCGGGCGTGCACTGGATGACGGTCACGGAGACGGTGAAGCTGCACCTGATCAAGGGTGAGCCGACCCCCCCCCGCTTCTCCTTTCAGCCCCCCCCCCACGGCCAGGGACGGCTGCCACCCCCTGACCCCCCCCCCAGCGGTGCCAATTCTGCAAGCGCGCCGCCCGTTTTCGCCTTTGCGCTTTGGCGAGCGCGTAGCGGGTTTTCCAAGGGCGCGTTTGCGCCGCTGCTGCCCGTTCCTCGGGGCTGGATTTTCGTTCCAGCTGTTACACACACACACACACACACACACACACACACACACACACACACGTTTCTCTCCCCCCCCCCCCGATTTCTAGCTTTGGAGGGAGAGGCTGCTCTGGTTTACGCAGGAAGCCCGCAAGATGCATCATAAAGGCGATTTGTGGGTCAGGGTTGAAATGAAGGGGTCCTTGATGGTTTTCTTGCGGATGTCTCATGACCCAACTAGGGAACGTCATCAGGGCTAAAGGGATGGGTTTGCAGAGAGGAGGAGGAGGAGGAGGAGGAGAAGGGAAAGAGGAAGGAGAATGAATGAAGAGGGAGAGAACGTGGGGTCCTCGGTGCTCTCTTGAGCTTGCTTCTTTTCTTGCAGACATTTCATGACCCAACTAGGTAACATCATCAGTGTTACAAGGGAGTGGGGCTTGCAGGGAGGAGGAGGAAGAAAAGGAGGAAGAGGACTGTGGGGTCCTCAGTGCTTTCTGAGCTTGGTTGTTCTCTTGCAGACATTTCATGACCCAACTAGGTAACATCATCAGGGCTAGAAGAAAGTGGGGTTTGCAAGAAGACGGTGGAATCTTCGGTGCTGTCTGAGCTTGGCTGTTTTTTTGCAGACATTTCATGACCCAACTAGGGAACATCATCAGTGCTAGGAGTGGGGCTTGCAGGGAAGAGGAGGAGGACTGTGGGGTCCTCAGTGCTTTCTGAGCTTGGTTGTTCTCTTGCAGACATTTCATGACCCAACTAGGTAACATCATCAGGGCTAGAAGGAAGTGGGGTTTGCAAGAAGACGGTGGAATCTTCGGTGCTGTCTGAGCTTGGTTGTTCTCTTGCAGACATTTCATGACCCAACTAGGTAACATCATCAGGGCTAGAAGGAAGTGGGGTTTGCAGGGGGGAGGAGGAAGAGGAAGTGGACTGGAATCTTTGGTGCTCTCTGAGCTTGCAGACATTTCATGACCCAAAGTAGGTAACGTCATCAGTGTTAGTACCAAGGACCCCTCAGATACATAACACGGCTTTTCCCAGAAGTTGAGAACATCCGGAGGGCTCCAAAGGAGCGGAATGGATGGCTGTAAACTTATCGGGGAAAGCCTTGTCCTCCTTCCCAAGAGGCGTTTTAGCAAAATGGGATGAGTTTCCAGAAAACTAAACAGAGTTGGAAGGGACCTTGGAGGTCTTCTAGTCCAGCCCACCCCGTACTCAAATGCAAATTCCTGCGCGCTTGACTCAGAAGAAAGGTCTGGAGAATCCAGATGTCAGAGGGGATGGGAAGAGAGGACAAGAGGGAAAAAAAAAACGTTTTTGTTTTCTGCTTCCAGGCTTAAACGCGTTAAAGCAGCCAGAACCTTGTCAACAAATATGCTTTCAACCCAGTGTGGCCGAAAAAGAGACCGGGAAGGAATTAACCTTGACGGTTAGCCAGGTTCCTAAGCTGGCTGACCATCCTTTAGGTAAGGCGGTGAAGAGAATTTACAGAAATCGGGATCCAGACAACACTGGATCAGCAGCGCCGCCAGTCCGAAAGAGAAATCTTATCTTTTCCGCTTGTGTTTTGTCGAAGATCTTTCGCTGAATAATTTACATTGTGTGAAATCAACCTTCCCCAGCCAGGAGCTTTTCCAGGTTTCTTGGCAGAACATTTGCTCTTTTCGGGCTGAATGGCGTGGTGGATGCCATCTGGCGTCTTTTAAAAAAAAAAACACCACCACCACGTTGGGCATTTTTCTTTAAAAAATAATAATAATTAACAGGTAATCTTTGGCTTGGCACAGGGGGAATGTTTTGATTTCCCACCATTTGCTTTGTACAATGGGAGCGTCCTTCCGCGGTTAAAATCCGTGTCGGTTTTCTTTACAGTTTCGGGACCGGTTTTTACGCAGTTAAATGTTGGAGCAGGCCCTCGTCTGGACATGCACTCGTCCGGTGTGTTTGGTAAGTAAAAGCAACTCTAGGCATTAAAATTCCTTGGGAAGGAAAGGGAGGCTTGATCAAACTTACTAGCCAGTTTTTAACTGGGATATCAGCAGAGCGTCAATATATGGAGAGTCTTGGTCCTCCAAATCCTGGTTGTCCCAAATGTGCTTTTCCAGGAGGCAATTGGACTTCCTTATTTTTCTTTGAAGACGTTTCGCTTCTCATCCAAGAAACACCTATTTGCACAACTCAGGTGATCCTGAGGATACAGGTAAACCTCCAAGTGGCCTCGTTGTTGTTAGTTGTGAAGTCGTGTCCGACCCATCGCAACTCCGTGGACAACGTTCCTCCAGGCCTTCCTGTCTTTTACCATCTTCTGGAGTCCCTTGAAGCTCATGCCTATTGCTTCAGGGACTCTATCCAGCCACCTCCTTCTCTGTCGTCCCCTTCTTCTCTTGCCCTCCATCTTTCCCAGCATCAGGCTCTTCTCCAGCGAGTCATTCCTTCTCATTAGGTGGCCAAAGTACTTGAGTTTCCACTTCAGGATCTGGCCTTCTAAAGAGCAGTCAGGGTTGATCTCCTCTAGGACTGACCGGTTGGATCCCCTTGCAGTCCAGGGGACTCGCAGGAGTCTTCTCCAGCACCAGAGTTCAAAGGCCTCAATTCTTTGGCACTCAGCCTTTCTTATGGTCCAACTTTCTCTCTCAAAGGATGCAAATGACCAGCTGTCTGCAAGGAGTATAACTCCTTCCCTTCCCCACCATCCAGTTAGAGCTGAAGAAGCTTCTTGGAGAAGCGAAACGTCTTCAAAGAAAAACAAGAAAGTCCAGTTATCTCTTGAAAAAAATCAAGAGATGGGACAGAGCATCAATATTCTCCTGCAATTCGCTCGGCTTTTAGAAATGTTTCCATTAACCCTATTAGGAATGACTACTCAGCTTTATTGGATTGTGTGTTTGTGTGGTTTTTTTTTAGCTTCTCCCGTTTGAAAACTAGGGCTTATCTAGAATTTTTCTAGGATGATGGATTTACAATTTTGAACAATCCTTTCTCCCCCCCTCCCCCCCCAGTGTTCTGGGCAATTCTTCCTGCCCAGATTAATTTAAAGCCACTTTGATCTGGCTGCTGGAACTCACTGAGTGGAGACAGTGATGTTTTTAATTCTCAAGTTGTTTTGCCTTCTGTGTTTTACTCCTCCAGTACTCGGCGTGGGTCACGGCACGAAGCTGCTCAAAGATTGGTACAATGCACATCTTACCAGGGTAAGCTGTCCCTCCGTTTCTGGCGCTTAGCAGGCGGCGCTATTTGTTTTGCAACGCAAGGCTCCGTTTATATTTGAGGAGAGCTGGTATAGCACACATGGGGAAATTCTTCAATTTGCAAATTAAACCCCCATTAAGTCTTGGGGAGGCTCTCAAAACAGCCCACGAGGCGTGTGGAATGTTAAGACGTAAATTTAGCTTCACCTCCTCAGCTGGAAGAAACTTTGTAGAAGAGAACATCTGTAGCTGAGGATCGAACTGTGGGGGTTCTTGGTGGCCTCTGAGCCTGGTGGTTTTCTTGCAGACCTTTCATTACCCAACTAGGTAACATCATCAGTGCTAGAAGGGAGTGGGATTGGTGGAGATGAGGAGAACTCTGGGGTCCTGGGGGCTCTCCGAGTTGGGCTGTTTGCTTGCAGACGTTTCATCACCCAGCTAGGTAACATCATCAGTGCTAGAAGGGAGTGGGGTTCGCAAGGAGGGGGAGGGGAAGAAGGAAAAGAGGAAGGAGGGAGGAGAATGAACGGAGAAGAGGAAGAGAACTGTGGGGCCCTTGGTGCTCTCTGAGCTGGGTGGTTTTCTTGCAGATGTTTCATTACCCAACTAGGTAACAGCATCAGTGCTAGAAGGGAGTGGGGATTGCAGAGAGGAGGAGGAGGAGGAGGAGGGGGAAAAGAGAAGGAGGAAGAAGAGGACTGTGGGGTCCTCAGTGCTCTCCGAGCTTGCTTCTTTTCTTGCAGACATTTCATTACCCAACTAGGTAACATCATCAGTGCTAGATAGGAGAGGGGTTTCCTCTCTGTTGATATTCAAGAACAATTTCTGTACAAAACAGCAGGTCTTTGTCTTTTCTTGGGCTGACATTCTGCTTTGAGGGAGTTTCGCCCTCTGCCTTTGCAAGGCGCAGTGTGCTATCAGGATTTTTCCCTTTCCAAAGGCCTACACCGTTAGCGGCTTGTTCGGCAAAGCCACGGACAATTTCTCGGACACCGGGAAGCTGATTGAGAAGAGCACATTTGGTAAGTGACTCGTCCAGGGGGGCCTAAGGCGACCGGCTCTACAGTTGGTGATTTCCCAGGATTGGAAAAACTTTTCTGAATTGCTTTGGGAAAAGATGGGGGGGGGGGAAATCAGAGGAAGGGATGCTAAACGTCGATTGTCTTCTTCTTTGGAGATCACGTCACGCGGGAGAAGCTGGAGCGGATTGTTTCGGTGATCCAGGGATCCAATCACAAGGCTTTACTGCAGTGAGTACCAAATTGCAGTGAATGTGTCTAAGGCAGTGGTTCTCAACCTTTTTAATGCCGCGACCCCCAACCGGTCGTAAGTCAAGGACTACTCAACCGGTCATAAGTCGAGGACGACTCAACTGGTGCAGCACCGTTTGCAGAATGGGACTTTTGGCGGGCTCAGCAGGGCAGAGACAGCCTGGACAATTCCTATTGGCTTTTGAAAGCCAATAGAATTAGACTCTATTCAAGAGAGTCTATTCTATTGGCTTTCAAAAGCCAATAGAATAAAAGGGAGTAGCACAGCTAAGGAAAAGGGGGAAAAAATGGGGGACTGCGTTGTTTGGCGACCCCCGTGAAATGGTCGTTCGACCCCAAATGGGGTCCTGACCCACAGGTTGAGAACCACTGGTCTAAGGGGCAACATGCTCTGGTGTGGTGTGGGCCTGGCTCAACCCTGCCTAAAGTTAGGGACATTCAAGAAGAATTAGAATCGCGATAGAGCTGGAAGGGACTTTGGAGGTCTTCTACTCCAGCCTCCTGCTCAAGCAGGAGACCCTGTACCATTCCAGACAAGTGACTGTCCAGTCTCTTCTTAAAAACCTCCAATAATGGAGCACCCACAACTTCTGGAGGCAAGCAGTTCCACTGGTTAATTGTCCTCACTGTTAGGAAGTTTCTCCTTAATTCCAGGGTTGCTTCTCTCCTTAATTTAATTTCCATCCGTTGTTTCTTGTCCTGCCTTCTGGTGCTTTGGAGAATAAGTTGACCCCCTCCTCTTCTTTGTGGCAGCCCCTCAAATACTGGAATACAGCTATCATGTCCCCCCCTAGTCCTTCTTTTCTCTAGACCGGCCATATCCACACCCTGCAACCAATTTGCCCTGGGCCTTTGCAATCCACAGTGAGTGCTACCAGGATGCAAAAATAAATTCCTTTTAAAAATCTCCTTTCTGCTTGAGGGTGGTGACCCAAAATAAGCCCACTGAAACAGCTTTCCAAACTGCTAGCTTGAGGTATGGTGGACTTTTGTTTGCTTTGCAAAAAGAATCTTATCTTACGCACGCAAGTGTTAGACCACTTCGCTGTCCCGCCGCCGGACACTTGGCAAGCCACGACAGGCCTTGATTTATGACCGTTCCTGAGCCAGGAATTATGGCCATTGGTCATCACAGTCGTACGTTGAGGCATCACGGGACCAGATTGGAAGCCGGGACTGTTTGCTTTACAACGGTCGTGAAGGGATCGCAGCAACCGTTGAAATGCATTTTTCTTGCCGGACACCAGGAATAAACGCCATATTTGTAGGGGGGGGAGAGTGTCATCCTGACCGCAGGATGGTGCAAACGGCCATCAAGGCAAGCCGGTTGCAAATGTATGGGCCGGTGCGGCTGTCGTTAACTCTGAAAAAGCTCCGACTTCGTAACTTCGATCGGTCGCTGAGTGTTCAGTCTTTAAGTTAAGGACTCCCCGTCCAAACTCTGCAGACCTTGCATGGAAGGCATGAAGGCGGCTGGCTTGGCGAGGTGACACGGAGGCGGTCACCAACCTCCTTCTGTTTTTTCCGCAGGCCGCCACTGTCCCTCGGCTTCTTCCCCCGGCGCCTCTACAGCCCGACCAAAAAGCCCGAGGAGCCTGCAAGCTCGGAGCCGCTGAGCTTCACCAAGAGCCCGGCCAACCCTCGCCGGTGGACTGCCTGGCAGTCCATGGGCAGCGACCAGCGGCAGCCCGCCTGGCGGGCCTTGCTGATCAACCTGGTCATCTTCCTGATCCTCCTCTGGTGCTATTTCCGCCCCGAGACGGAGGCGGACCGGCGTGCCAAAGAGTTTCTTGAGTACTTGCAGAATTATCCCCTGCAGCATCAGCCGCCTTCTGTCCCTTCAGGAGCGGACGAGAAGAAGCCTTAAACTAGGACACGGGGATCGGAAAGCCGGGCTGTTCTGCCAGGTTTCGCATCCCTGCTTGCCGCGGCGAAGAGGAAGACGATCCAGAAGCGGTTGATTAAAAAAAAAGAGCTGAAGGCCGATCTCGGAAAAGGCTCTTAAATCTAAAATAATAAAATGGACTCTGCCCAAGTCGGCGAGGCTGTGAATGGAAGGAGTGGTGGGAAGCGAGACCGTTTATTTAAAAAAAAAAAACCAAAAATCAGTGAAAATGAGATTGGTTCCCCGGAGGGTGCAATTTCTCAGTTGGGAGAGAAGCTGGAGGGCAATGAAACATCCTGGTTTTTTTTTGGGGGGGGGGGATGTGGTTTTAGAGCATAATAAAATATTTGTACCTTCGAAACGAGTGTGTTGTCTTGCAAATGGGGGAAACGCAGGGCCAAGTGGTAGCCCGTAAAGCATTTGTGGCTGGGCCAACTTCTGTCTTTATTGATGAACTGGCAGCAGCTTGACAATCAAAGCTCCTGTCACCTTTCCAGCAAGTCTGGGAGCGATGGGAAAACAGAAGTCCAACATACCAGGTTAGGGAAAGGTGGCGTCTCACAATATACACGCCCCTGTTGCAACCCGTAGGCTCTTGGCTCTCCTCCAGAAAATCCCAGAAGTAGCTAACCGCGGCTTTCCTGTTGCACTCAAACTTGGTGTGCTGAGTTAAAGCTTTGGTAAACAAGGAGAATCACGTCTGTCAGGGTGGTTTGGTTAAATTAACCAGAGTTCTCTAGCACTTCTGGACCAGAGAATCCAGGTTTGGGGGGGGGATTGCACACTGGGGATGGAAATGTTACCAATACAAAGCGCGCTTGACCGGGGACCAGGATTTCCGTCGCTAAGTAAGATGGCTGCGAATCGCGTCCATTTTTTACCACCTTTTAGCCAGAGTTAAGCGAATTACTGCAATTATTGAGTGAAATCCTCTTTAAATCCAGGAGTTTGGAAAAAGTGCAGAGAAGAGCAACGCCCAAATCCTGCAGCCGTTCTTCGTGTGTTTTAGTTTCCAGCCCTTTTAAAAGGATTAAAGGCCTTGAGACTAAAACATACAAAACACGATTGCAGGAACTGGGTTTGGCCAGTCTAGAGAAAAGAAGGACTAGGGGGGACATGATAGCAGTCTGCCAGTATTTGAGGGGCTGCCACAAAGAAGAGGGAATCAAGCTATTCTCCAAAGCACCAGAAGGCAGGACGAGAAACGATGGAAACTAATCAAAGAGAGAAGCAACCTGGAATTAAGAAGAAACTTCCTGACAGTGAGGACAGTTAACCAGCTTGCCTTCAAAAACCACGGGTGCTCCACACTGGAGGTTTTAAAGAAGAGACTGGACAGCCACTTGTCTGAAATGATATAGGGACTCCTGCCTGAGCAGGGGGCTGGACTAGAGGACCTCCATGGTCCCTTCCCGCTCTATTCTGATTCTGAAGGTCACAAAAAGGGGATAGTAGGATCTCAGCGTACTGCAACCGTCATAAATATGAGTCCGTTGCCAAACGTCTGAATTTTGATCACTTGACCCTGGGGATGCGGCAACGGTCTTAGGTATGAAAAACAGGTGTGACTTTTTTCAGTCCCGTCGTAACTTTGAACAGTCACTAAATGAAGTCGGGGACTAGCTGCATCATAGCAAAAACGAATCCCTTCTTTGGAACATGGAGGGGATAATGTTCGCAGCAACATGGGCGAAATAAAATCGACTTTGACGATGGCTGTAAACGGAGAGCAAACTCGCCTTCTGGACTGACCTGTTGTTCCCAAATAATTATGCTTCTGTTTTTCTACTCATCCCTTTCCAGGTGGGCTAACCTGGACTTGAAAACTCAAGAAGCCTACGAGTTGGCTGTCAAGGGCCTCATTCGGCCCATGGACAATAGCCCGCCTCTGATCACGGCTGTGCGATGTCTCCGTTTTGATCCACCGGAATTCCAGCTGGGTATGGCCTTCTCTCTTAGATTAAGGCAGACTGGCGACCTTGTTTTATTTAAAAAATAGGAAATTAAGCTCCAGGACCCTCTTTAAATCTCCCCCTCTGACTTTGTTCCCGTTACGCCAAATCGGAAAAGATGACTTTGAAGGAATGAACTAGTGGTGGGTTGGATAGCTACCAGGAATGCTGCAAAAATAATCAGCATTGGTTTATAGCAGGGGGTCTTCAAACTTGGCCCTTTGATGACTTGCGGATTTTAACTCCCAGAATTCAACTCCCAGTTTGAAATCCACAAGTCATAAAAGGGCCGAGTTTGAAGACCCTTGGTTTAGAGTTAATCAGTGTTTCTCAACCTTGGCCACTTTTAAAACATCTGGAATTCCCCACACTGTGGAATTCTGGGAATTGAAGTCCAGTCATCTTAAAGTGGCCATGTTTGAGAAACTTTGGACTAAATGACAGAGACCGGGGGATTCTTCACTTTGTCTACCATACTGTTTTTCAGCAATGTCAAAGGAAAGTGAAAATAGTGCAATTAAAGGCAGAGTCTACATCCTGCTAAAATCCGTGATGCCTTTAATACAGAAAATAAAAACTGGGCCAGTAAGAATGGCTTTTACTCAAGAACCTTGTATAAAGCCGATCCATCAGAATTCAGCTCGAAAGACAACAGAATTGGGAGTTTCCCCTAAGATGCCTAACAGTTGAAAGATTCATTTCTTTCTTAGCCAGACTGGCCTGAAATTGTTTTAATAAACGGTGGTGAGGGAACAGAGTCCTGTTCAACTCTTCCAAGTTGCAATTATGAAGTGCAGCTTTAAATTTAGCTACTGGCTTTTCTTTCCTGCCTTTCTTAGAAATTCACTGCTTGCACGAGACCCAACAGTATCTCCGCAAGATAGTTCACGAAATAGGGTTGGAACTGAAGACTACGGCGGTGTGTACCCAAGTGAGGCGGTTTCGGGACGGCGTCCTTGTGCTGGAGGACGCACTGCTGAGGACACAGTGGGACCTCCCTAACATCCAGCGGGCAATTTTGCAAGTCAAACAGAAAGTAGACGCTGAACTTGAAAGCAGTCTTGCGCACCTGAAGCCTGGGGTGGAGGGTGAAAGAGACCGAATCTGACCCAGATCCAGAATTCAATAGGAAATTTGCTAGAATTCTCAGAATATTGGAGAAAAGCCTGATGAAACATTCCAATTTTTAGCTTGGATCAAAAAGTTCCAAGTTGGCACGTTCCTCTCTAAACAACATGGCAAGGATATTGCAATTTGAAAGAGAAAGGAAGGAAGGAAGAAGAGAAAGAAAAGAAAGAAAGAAAGAAAGAAAGAAGGAAGGAAGGAAGGAAGATTAGACACTGTGCCCAGATCCAGCACAGCAAAATTAGTTGAAATTGGATGTTTCAAAGTAACATATTGTTACCACAGTTGTGTATTACAAACACTAACCAAATTTCTATTAAAATAAGCTATTTTGTTTCTTCCTAGCACGGAAATAAACATTCTTAGCAGATGTTGGTTACTAAATGGAAGTCAAAAGGATTGATCTGTTTTTCAATTTATGCCCATGTCTGTGGAATGCAATGTTTGGATTTCAACGCAAAAACCACATCCCCTTATTTCAGCGTCAAAAGCTAAACCACCTCACCAATGCTTTTGAAATTCACTCCCAAACAAATAAGTCACCATTTTTATAGACAAATGTTGCTTTCTCGACATGTTCCAAAAGAGCAGGGCCCCCTCGCTCTTTTCAACAGCCATATTTGAAGAAGCCTACATTTCAGATCATAGTTAACAATTCATAATGATTTGGAGAGGAGTCCACCTTCAAATTCAGCCCTCTTTGGGGGAGCAGAAAACACGGCTCAACTTGAATGCACCCAAGACTGAAGGGACTTCCATTTGGACTATCAAATTATTACAATTAATAAAATCTTTTCTATTTTTATGGCTTTATAGTTTAGCCTGGTCAACGCTCACAGCGAAGAGAGGACCATTAGCAATTCCTCAATCCAGGGCAGCTTTCTAGAATTCTGCAGAGATTTGTCCATATCTAGAAAATTCTGTTCTGTCCGTCTCCAAACGGTGGTAATAAGTCCAACAGCTTCTCCATCCATTAAATGATTTTTTTTAATGCCCCAAAGTTAAAGCTACTGTTTCAATAATATTTCTGGGGGAATAATGAACTTACAGAGATTGCCTTTTCGCCACGCGTTATATTTCCACAGTCTAGGTGGTGTGTGTGTCACATTTTACATTCCTCCTAATCATTCAGATCCAGGTCAAATTCAGGGTAGAGGTCTTTGGTGGTGACGCCCCTGATTGCAGCTAGGAGAGAAAGCAGATAAAGAAGATCGTAAAGGAGCACAGAAAGAGAAAACAACACGAGGCAGTAAATCACTTCCACAAACTCTGTAATCATTAAACTGGATTCTTAAGACTTTTGTGCATTTTTTAATTTTGTGCCTTGGGGGAGGGTCAATCTTTATTTATTTATTTATTTACAAATATTTATATGCCGCCCAATCCCAAAGGACTCAGGGCGGCGTACAATCTTGACTTTTGTGACCATCTGGACAAATGAGTAGAGTTTTCTTGGCAATGTTTCTTCATTTTTATTTTATTTTTTCCCCTTTCTTTCTCCTAGGGCTGACTGACCTGGCTAATGCAAATCGAGTTTATAGCTCAGCGCCTTTAATCAGTACACCAAGCTCTCTCTCATAAAACTTAATTTTCTTTAAAGACTAGCATCTGTGCAGCCCAGTTTTATGATTTCACGTCCCAGATTATTTGCCTTTCATTAAAGTTGCTTGTAATTTGCATTGTGGGTCTGGAGCAATTAAGACCAAGCCCCAGCTGTTTTAAGTCACTCTCCCCAACAGCTGCAAGTCCAGATGTTGGCATGCATCTTAAGAGGCACCAGGTGATGAACGACAATGCCAAATTATCCAAACTCACTTTCCAAAGGAGAATGTCTATGGAGATCCTCAGTTATCCAGGTCACGGTTATCCCAAAGATGCAACTGGACTGTCTCACACAAGAAGCTTCTTCAGTTCTGACTGGATGGTGGGTAACACCCTTCAAATGGGGCGGGAGTATGAACAGATTTCCAGAAAACAGTGCAGACTACAGGAACCATTTGCGCTTCACTTTGAGATTCAGACAACACAGACTCATCCCCAACAACTTGTGCCTGTCTTCAACAGTGAGGGGACACCGGGCAGAAAACATCCTGCAGCACCCATCTGCACTGTTCAGGTGACCCTGAGGACATAGGTAAACCTCCAAATGGCTTCAACGACTCTCTAAAATAAGGCAAATGACCAGCTGTATGCAAGAGGTATAAATCCTTCCATTCCCCACCATCCAGTCAGAGCTGAAGAAGCTTCTTGGATAAGAAGCGAAAGGTCTTCAAAGAAAAACAAAAGTCCAGTTGCCTCTTGAAAAACCACCTTTGTGATTTCCAAAGGAGAATGTTTAAAGTTAAAAAGAAAAAGTACCTCCACTCACCCAGCCTGATTCTATTTTAGTCCTTACCCAGTCTGCCTAAAAGCATTTGTCCCGTGTCTTTTATCTCATTGTATTCATGAAGGAGAGAAATGTGGTTTTCCAATTCCTCCAGGCTGTATCCTCTGGGAAAAAAAAACCAAAAGATAAGAAAAGTCAAGACAAACCAGAAGTGTGATTCTTAAGAGCTGTCGGAGGAGGAACAAGATTCAAGAAAAAATATTTATGACTCTATATGTACTTTCCTGTCTTCTAGTAACCCCAGCCTTGCTTAAATTAATAACAGGTGCCAAACCCCATTCCCGAGATACTGGAACTTTAAAATATTCCACTTTATTCACTAGTCTGTGGCAATCTGGCTTTGCTGGGGTCATCCAATGGTTCTTCGAAAGCTTTGTGGAAAACAGCCTCTCACTCCCTGCCCCCCCCCAAATTTACCAGAGGGGGGGGGAAATGGTTTTGGAGTCATCCAAAGCAATCCATTCCCCAAAACAGTATGTTTGGCCTGTGTACATTAACTCAATGGTTGTGAAAGCTGGACCCTAAGAAAGGCTGAGCGCCAATGAATTGAGGCCTTTGAACTGTGGTGCTGGAGAAGACGCCTGTGAGTCCCCTGGACTGCAAGGCGATCCAACCGGTCAGTCCTAGAGGAGATCAACCCTGACTGCTCTTTAGAAGGCCAGATCCTGAAGTGAAAACTCAGGTACTTTGGCCACCTAAGGAGAAGGAAGGACTCGCTGGAGAAGAGCCTGATGCTGGGAAAGATGAAGGGCAAGAGAAGAAGGGGACGACAGAGAAGGAGGTGGCTGGATGGAGTCCCTGAAGCAATAGGCATGAGCTTCAATGGACTCCAGAAGATGGTAGAGGACAGGAAGGCCTGGAGGAATGTTGTCCATGGAGTCGTGATGGGTCGGACACGACTTCGCAACTAACAACAACTTTCCCCTGAAGAAACTGCTGCAGTCAAGTTGCAATTGCCCAACCACACAATCTGAAACAGATGTCATTGTATGCAAAACACTTATAAATACGCACTCAGCCTTGATTTGTGCTATCTCCTGATCCAGAGCAAGTTCCTTGTGTTTTAGCTCTTCGATTTCATGCTGCAAGACATCCTTATCGGCAGGCTGACAGCTCTTTGGAGGAAGAACCTGTTGAGCAGAGAAAGACAACACAATGTTAAACATTTTTATCATTTCAGTACCGGGGGTGAGATTCTAGAATAGCTTCACAGCTATCAGCAGTTGGGATGGGGGATGAACACCACAAAGACAGAGCCAAAATCTACTCAGTCCTATATAGTATATATCTATTGCCAAGAAAAACGTACTTATTTCTCTGAAAAATGTTATTCCACCCTCTCTCCAGATTTCCTGACAATATCAAGGCTATCAAAATATTTTTTTTTCCTTATAAAAAATAAGTCGAGACTCCAAGCGATCCTATTTACATGCAAAAGATTTGTATATCCTGCAAAAAGATTCTTAGCTTGAAACTTGCCCTATTCACTAAAAATCCAACCCAACCGATAATATCTCATGGTTTTACAGCTTAGTGTTGTCTAAGAAGATTAAATCAAGAGTGTCCAAAAATGTTGATTTACCTTTAAAAAAATGATACGATTTAATCTTATGAATGCAAAGCAATACAGAGCCAATCAGCCTGTGTAAATCTATTTTGACCTGTTGAATGTAACTTTTAGTCTTGCTTGGTTTACAACCAAGAGATAACAACCAGGATCCTGGCCATGTTATCAGAATCGGCTACAGAGGTTTTTCTCAAGGAATCTGGACTACAATTGTGGGTTTCCAATCTAGATTGTTTCCTACATTCCTAGAATGTCAGACACATTCTATAGATGAATGAGAGATTTCATTTTGCAGACACTTACTGGAGATTTAAAGCTTGCACTACAACTTCTCTGGGCTGCTTGAGGTGTCCTGAATTAAAAGAGAAAAAGAAAAAAAGGTTAAGAAAAGAATTTGAAAGTTCTTCAAATGAGTCAGGACAAACCTGAATCCTCATGTTAGTCAAGAAATGAATTAAAGTTTAAGATTTAAACCGTTCTTACCTCCAGGTTAAAGGTCTGGGGGAGATTTTCCCCCTTAGTCCCAGGTTCTGCCTGCCCCCTTGATTCAAAGGGGATTCATGTTCTTGTTTAGCCAGAATATCTTCCAAGCCAGTGGTAGAACTGCAGTCCACAACCTCCTTTCCCTTCTGCATCTGGGGGATTCAGTTGTCAGGGGAACGGAAAGAATAAATGGATTTTTGCAGTTCACGGGTGTGTGTAATTCATAAGCATCTTGGTTGCTGGGTTGCAGTCCAAAAGCTGGAGATTTGTCACCCTATTTCATGCAGGAAGTGTGTTCTGCCAAAGCTGTGACATAAAAAGATTGCAATTTTTTGAAAACAGTAAGGATTTAAAAATAAAACACAAGACAACAATGGCCAAGGTACAAGGGATTTAAACATAATAGACATAATAGAGGCCAGTAAGGCAAACAGACTAAAAACCACAAACAGAAAGTCAAGTTCCTTCAAAAAAATTGCCAAGGCAAGCATCATACTAAAAACCAAATTTAGACCTTGTTAAACTAGGAATTAGTGTTAGGAATAACTGGGGAGCTTTGGAATAATAATGACATCCATGATAAGGTGGTGCCTAAAAAGTCAATGAAGGATTTAACCCTGGTTAAATCTGTATTATGGATTCCTTCACTATTAGGTGAAATTTCTATGGAGATTCTCAAGTTATCCGGGTCATAGTTACCCCAAAGTTGCTTTTTCACGAGGCAACTGGACTTTCTTGTTTTTCTTTGAAGACGTTTCGCTTCTCATCCAAAAGAAGCTTCAACATCCAGTCAGAGCTGAAGAAGCTTCTTGGACAAGAAGCGAAATGTCTTCAAAGAAAAACAAGAAAGTCCAGTTGCCTCATGAAAAAGCATCTTTGGGATATTAGGTGAAATGGTGCAACCTTACACTAATAAAAATAATAATTTATTCCATGTATCTGCTGCCCAATTCCCACCTTTTCCATCTAGACCCTGCCTTTCTTTTTCAAGCAGTTTCCTTTCCATTTGGAAAAGCACCTTGGAAATTCAACCCAGCAAGAGCCAAATATTCTGCAATGCTCCTCTATGAACATGCAAGCTGCAGGCTAGTGCAACTTGGGTTGCAGTGGTGGCAGACTTGGGGCGGCTCAACTCTAGGAGAAAAAACATGTTCTTTTTATGAGGTCCCTCCTTAATCCTGTTCTCTTGTGAGCCAACCTGATTACAGAATGACTCAGTGGGAAGGGACCTAAAGCACCAGCCATCTGGCAGATGTTGCCTTGCCTTGGTTAGCTAAGAAGGCTTGCAAAAGGGCTGCTCTGAATTACTTAGAGGGCATTTCGAGGTTGCTATGGGGGGGGGAAAGTTTTGAAAGGGGTGCTGGCAAAGCTGTGAACATGCATCCCTCGGCTCTCCCCTAAGCCACTGTCGAAAGCAAAAAAACCTGCCAATGATTCCGCAAAACCATATATATATATTGAATAAATAATAAATTTGTGGAAAGCAGCCCAGCAGGTTGAACCTGACGTAGTTCAAAGGGAACCCTAAAAAATGAGATTTTTCCAGTCAAGCTCAGCAAGCAGCTTCTTCACAAAAGCTCCTGATTTTTTTTGGGGGGGGGGTCTTTGCAAACTTGCAATCTCCTTCCCCAATGTTAGCCACCCCCCCACCCGCCTCCAGGGCAAAGGGACTCCATCCCCCATCTGGTCAGGTTGGGAATGATGGGAGCTGGAGTGGAGGAACTCACAGGTCCCCACAGCCCCCTGAAGAGCTCTGTTGAGTCTCCAAGCTTGCCCCGCTCCTGCTCTGCGGATGATGGGCAAGGTGGCTCCAGAGCTGGGGGAGCTGTGGGTTCGCCCCCCCCCCCACTACCACCAACTCCAGCTCCCATCATCCCCAGTCTGACTCCCGCTGGATTTCCCCCCGGCCGTTTCCCTTGAGTCTTTCTTATCCTTTTTTTAAAAAAAACAACCCCTTTCTCATTGCAACATTATACGTGAGGAAAAAGCAGCATACGTTTCTAAAGGTAAAATAAACAGCGCCCAGAAGCCAGAGAAGGGCGGCCATTAAAGGCGGAAAGGAGAGGAGCGCATGCGCCTCCCCGCCGCGCCTGCGCAAGAGCAGCCGGACGCGTCTCGAGCCCAGCCGGACGCGTCTCGAGCCCAGCCTCCCGCCCATTGGCCGCACGGCAGCCCCTCCGCGCCTGCGCAGTCGCGGAGTGGCGGAGCTGGCCCGGCGGCGGGAGGAGCCTCGGTCCGGCCCAGCCGCTTCGCCTTGCGCCGCCTGCCGGGTTGACGTGGCCGGGCCCGGCGCGGAGATGGCGGACGACAGCAGGCAGAACAAGCTGGCGGCGGCCAAGAAGAAGGTCAGCGAGCGGCGGGAGGCCGTGGGCGGCCGGCCCGGGCTGCGTCTGAGGCGGCGGGGCCTAGTCCGGGCCTGGCTTGGCTTCTCAGGAGCCGCCCTCCGCCCCGGGCCCTGAGGGAGAGACGACGCCCACTCTCCCGGTCTCCTTTTTCCTCCGACCTCCACACACACACACCCCCGGCAGCACTACAAGCCCCATCCTCCCAGCCTCGGGGACTACAACTCCCATCCTCCCCGCCCCGCGGGCCTGATCGCGCCTGGGAACGAGGGGGGGGGAAGGGCCGGGCTGTTCGTCCCGGAGGTCTTCTGGGGATGCTGGAGGGACAGCTGCCCCCTCGGGGAGCGTGGCCTTTTGGGGGGTGGGTGGAGGCTGATGGGACTTGTAGTCCAAGGCGGAGGCTGGGGGGGGTGTCCTGGGTTGGGGGGGGGTTGGGGTGCTTTCATGGGCGCCTGCGGAGGAGTAGGAGGGAAGGGTCAGGCTGGCGATGTCATCGGGGGACCCTCCCCCTAAATCGGCCCCCTCCTCTGGGATCCAGTAGATCCCTTTGCAAAGGTGGGAGAGAAAGCATTGGAGGGGGTGGAGGCTGGTGGAAGTTGTATTCAAAGGGGGGTGTGTGGGGGGGGTTTGCTTTTACGGGTGCCTGCAGAGGTGAAGTTGGGAGACCCTCCCCATAAATCAGCCCCCTCCTCTGGGATCCAATAGATCCCTTTGCAAACTGGGAGGGAAGCCCCTCCAGATGAAGCTTAGAAAAGGGGGGGGGGCTTTCTTGCAAAGGCACTTCTAGGCCTTCTTGGTGGGGGGGGGGCTAAAAGTTTGACATGCCCCTCCCTTTATTTGCCACTTTGCAAAGATGTGCCCAGTGTGCTTCCAGAGGGAGGAAGGACAACAAAAACCATAAATGGTGTTCCCCAAAAGGGCTTCCCCTCATGATTTAATAGAAGGGAGCTGGGATACAAGCTGGTTAGTTTTGGGGAGAAGATAAGACTGCTTTTGCTTAAAATATTTCTTTTACAATTTGGGGATTAAGAGCGGGGCAGAGAACTGCATCTTTTTAAACCTCAGACAAACAGTCCTCAGCTTACGACCACATTTGGCACCTAAGCAAAGGGATTGTTAAGTAAGTCGCATCTGATTTTATGATGTTTGTTTGTAACCATGATTGTTAAGCGAATCGTTGCACTTAAGTGAATTGACTTTGCTTCTGGGAAGTTATTCTAATCCAAAGCTTAGTTAGAATCTGTCACCAAATTCCTGAATTACGAGCACAACGAAGCTCAAATTTTCTGCGGCTAAATGAAACCTTTGTTAAGTGAATTTTGTCCCATTTTATGATTTTTCTCGCCCCGGTTGCTACATTAATCACTGCAGTCATTAAGTTAGTAACCCGGATGTTAATTGAATCTGACTTCCCCATTGACTTTGCTTCTCAGAACCCCAGGACACTGCAACCGTCATAAATATGAGTCAGTAGCAAAAAAATAAATAAATCTGAATTTTGATCATGTGACTGTGGGGAATGTTGTGATGGCTGTTAAGCATGAAAAACAGTCGTAAGTCTCTTTTCCCATTGAATGGTCACTAAGTTAACTGTTGTAAATCGAGGACTATTTGTATTATAATAATTTGGGGGGTTGTTCCTTTTGAAGGGTACCTTCCATAGGATAATTTTATAGTTTTATCTCCTGGATGTGTTCATGGCTAAACCGACAATACCCTGAAACCTAAAGGGCTGTAAACCAGGTCAAATGTTATCAGGTGAGAGTTTTCCAAAATTCCAAAACTCCAGGCATTTTTCCAAACTCCTGGATAAACTAGACAAACCCATCAGCGGTATGTGCTTATTTTGAGGCATTTAGGAAGACTGGCCCGTTCATGTGGGCAGTGCTTTCTGAACTAACGACTGGATCATCAGGAATGCCTTGAAAATCAGCTGCCGTGTGTGGTTCTGAAAATTGGCCCTTGAAATTGGTCACTATAACGCCGAGGTAGTGAAATTGTCCCCTAATGTGAATATCAGTTTAGGATTAGCTCCCGGCCTCTTAGCAGAGGGTTTATTGAATGTGTGCCCTGCGTGGGTGGCTGACTTGTCTGTGCAAGATGGAGGATTCTAGAAAACTATGCATTTTTAGCCTGGTTTTATATCGTCCTCTGCTCGGAAAGAGTAGAACCCTACCTTAAGAGCCTGGGATATTTATTTTGTAAAAGGCCCAGTAAGCAAAGTAGAGAAATTTGTCAATATTTGACTTGACTCTCTGTAAGTCACATGAGTTTCTTAGCTGGCTGGCTGGCTGTTGAATGTAAGTGGTGAATTTCATTCAGCTTGGTGGGTAGCATAATACTAAATTATCACTGGAAGTTTTTAAGAGAAGCTTGGACAAGCGTGTGTCTGAAATGGTATAGAGTCGCCTGCTTGAAGCACTGGGCTGGACTAGAAGACCTCCAAGGTCCCTTCCAAGTCTGTTATTTTGCTTTCCTTCCTTCCTTCCTTCCTTCCTTCCTTCCTTCCTTCCTTCCTTCCTTCCTTCCTTCCTTCCTTCCTTCCTTCTTTCCTTCCTTCCTTCCTTTCCTTCCCTTCCTTCCTTTCCTTCCCTTCCTTCCTTCCTTCCTTCCTTCCTTCCTTCCTTCCTTCCTTCCTTCCTTCTTTTCCCCTCTTCCTCTCCCTCCCTCCCATGTTATTGGAGGTTTTGAAGAACAGGTTGTATAGCCATTTGACTGGGATGGTATAGGATTGTCTGCCTGAGCAGGGGGTTGGATTAGAAGACCTCCAAGGGCCCGTCCAATCTCTGTTCTATTCAGTTGTTATGTCTGGTGAAATTGGTGATAAAACGGAAAGAGCCCTGCTTTTTCTTTTCTTTCTTTTCTTTTTTTGGTCTTGTGTCAAAGAAAGAGTTTAAAGTTAGCCTCCGCAAAATTTCAAGGGCAAGTTTGATACAAAGACACGCTTGGCTTCAAACCAAAAGGAGTAAATCAAATAACAAGGTAGACTATTAGGGCGTTAAGCTGAGTATTTGTTTGTTGTCTGTGGCTGTGTTGCAACCTTGAGTCAAACTTTATGAGAAATATGTAAACAGTGGCAATCTCCTAACTATTCCATTTGGACTTCTGAATTGTAGGTAGAAATTGCCTCGTTTTCAGAAGAACAGGGTGGGTTTTGATTCTTTTTTTCGGCTTATACGTAATAGTAATAGTAGTAAAGTTGGAAGGGACCCTGGAGGTCATCTAGTCCAACCCCCTGCTCAGGCAGGAAACCCTACACCATTTCGGACAAATGGCTGTCCAGTCTCTCCTTAAAAACTTCCAGTGTTGGAGCATTTACTGCTTCTGGACGTAAAGGATTACACATAGAATTGGAAAAAAAAAATGCTTTAAATAGCGGACTCTTGAATATCTAGCTATCCGGATGTACTTAATAGATTGTTTAAATACTTCTTTTTAAACGTTGCTGTGTGGGTTTCAACTAGTCTTCAGCAGACACAGCTTACTGTGGGTTCTGTCCACATGGAAGAAGTCCTCAAACTTTACAAAAGTTCATTTAATGCTCTAAGTTACAAAGGCATTGAAAAAAGTGACTTACAACCGTTTTTCATACTTGACTGTTGCAGCGTCCCCAGGGTCATGTGATCAAAATTCGGACACTTGGCAACTGACTCATATTTATGACCATTGCTGTGTCCCCGGGGGTCACGTGATCCCCTTTTGCAACCTTTTGACAAGCAAAGTCAACGGGGGAAATCAGATTCACTTAACAATCGGGTTACTAACTTAACATCTGCAGTGATTCACTTCACGGCGACATGCAAGGTCGTAAAATGGGGCAAAAATTCACTTAGCCAATGTCTCACGTAGCAACAGAAATTTTCGGGTCAGTGGTGGTCATAAGTTGAGGGCTACCTTATTACAAGCTTTTGGAGTGGGTGAGCAGGATAAATCTAATCGATAAGAATAATATGTTACACAATAAGGTAGAGTAAATGCCTTCAAAATTTGGGTTGAAGGGTAATGTCAGTTTCACATGTTGGACAAAAAAAAAAAAGGCTGTTTGAAGACTACGTTGACTCCTTTATGAGCCGGTTTACATTTTCCAAAATATATCTGGCCATTTTTCCTTGCCACTTTTGCTCTGGATGTGACAGGAAATGAGCTTGTGAAAGCGTGCGACCACATCATCGTTAAAACTGTTAAAATTTCATCTGACTGGAACCGATTAGGACGTTTAACCTTACCAGCAGTTTTTCAAATTTAGTCTTTTTCTTCCTCCTCCTCCTCCTCCTCTTCCTCCTGGGGTACCTTTTTCTATGAGATTTTAATTTTGTTTGGAGACAGTTCCAACTTCAGATGAGTTTAATTTCAAACCGTTTTCCTTTTTTTTTCTCTCTCAGCTGAAAGAATATCAGCAGAAAAACAGCCCCGTGTCGGCAGTGGGGGCCAAAAAGAAACGGAGGAGTAAAGAAACAAGTCACCCAGAGATGCCTGTTAATGATGGAGTGCAATCTCCTGAAAATGTAAGTTTGCTTCTTGTCAACTGCTCCAATGTCAGTTGCTTCCTGGATTCTGCTTCAAGTAGAACATGGCTGGCTCAGGAATTCTGGGAGTTGAAGTCCCCAGGTCTTAAAGGAGGGGCATGGCTGGTTCAGGAATTCTGGGAATTGAAGTCCCCAGGTCCTAAAGCGGGGCATGGCTGGCTCAGGAATTCTGGGAGTTGGAGTCCCCAGGTTCTAAAGCGGGGCATGGCTGGTTCAGGAATTCTGGGAGTTGAAGTCCATAGTTGCCCACTCCTAAAGCAGAGCAACCAGTTCCAAGCTGCTGATCTCCAGATGACCATTAGGTTGTAGCAAAGGCTCCCTCTGCGTGTCAGATCTTGGCCACCTTGCCGACTTCAAGATGGAGTTTTTCACCTTGTGTCGCTGATCCAAGTGCAGGGACTCCTCTACTTAGGACTATAACCGAGCCCAAAATTTCCGTGGCTTAAGCAAGACAGTTGTTCCAGTGAGCTTTGCCCCCAATTTACGACTTTTCTGGCCACAGTTGGTAAAGGGAACCGCTGCAGTCGTTAAGTAAATCCGACTTCCCCCGCTGACTTGGCCTGTCAGAAACTCGCAAAGGAGGAATCGCCTGTCCTCGAGACACCGTGACCGTCATAAATAGGCGCCAGCTGCCGAGCGCGTCTGAATTTTAATCGCGTGACTGCAGGGACCAATCATAAGGGTGGAAAATGGTCATAATTCACCATTTTCAGGTCCGCGGTCACTTCAGACAGTCACTAAATGAGCTGTTGTAAGTCAAGAACTGTATGTGTTTCTCTCTCTCTTTCTCTTTCTTTCTTTCTTTCTTTCTTTCTTTCTTTCTTTCTTTCTTTCTTCTCTGTGGTGTTAAGAAACAACAGACCAAACTGAATGAACAGTTGCTTCCTGGGAAGTCAGGACAAAAGTGTCTCCCCTTTGTATTTGCCGCCAGAAACCATGTGCCAGCTGCTCAAAGGCGCTTTTTCAAGAGGTCACTGGACTTCCTTGTTTTTCTTTGAAGACCTTTCGCTTCTCCTCCCAGACGCTTCTTCAGCTCTGACCGGATGGTGTCGAACGGAAGGATTTATACTCCTTGCAGACCGCTGGTCCTTTGCATCCTTTCCTTCCCTCCACCATCCGGTCAGAGCTGAAGAAGCCTCTTGGATGGGAAGCGAAACGTCTCCGAAGAAAAAACAGAAAGTCTGGTTGCCTCCTGAAAAAAAAAGCACCTTTGGGACGCCTGGATGAGTGAGAATCTCCACGGACATGTGCCTGCAAGTTCCTTCTTAACTTTTCCTGCCACGCTTCTTGGTCTCTCGTTCCTTTCGCTTCCGGGGATCGACGTCCTTTCCTGTCCCTTTTTTTTTTCCCCTCTTTTTTTTTCTCAGCTCTTTCTCTTCCTCTTTTCTTCTTTTGCTCCTGTAGATTGAGAGCCTTCTGAAGGTGCTGGTGTCCGACTTTAATGGCTCCAATGGGGTAGCCATACCTACATTGGACAAGTGGAAGGTGAGGCAGCTTTCAGAACCGGTCCGGCTGGCTTGCCATCCGTCCTGCTTCCAATCCGGGCTGAGCCCCTCGGGCTGTTCTTTGGGAGGGGGGCAGGTGGCAGAGCCTTTTGTGGTTCCCCATTCCGGGAATGCCAATGCCGTTGTCGCTGGTTTGTGCGGAGTTATTTTTAACCTCCTGCTTTCCTGCTGTAGTTCCTCTTGCCCGGCTGTTCCTTAATTGGGCTCAGGTTACAAAGGCAAAAAAAAAAAAAAAAAAAAAATGACCTGGCTTTTCAAGGCAGAGCAGCTGCTTTGAAACGCAGGCCCAATATAGAATAAAGAGAGAACTGGTATAGCTATTTCGAGTTCCTTTAACTCTCTTCAGCCAGACTTACTCTTCTGAGATTCGAACCTGGGCTTATCTGCATGTTAGGCAGTTGTTATAACCTCTAAGCCACAGGCTCTCTCTCTTACATTCAAGGTAATATATATATATATATGTAGGTCTTTGGTTGTTTGGGTTTTCTCCCGCGTAAAATTGGAAGTGTCTTGGCGACATTTTGAACAACCAGACCTACATACAAACACCCGCGAAAACCTCAGAAAACATATATCTCAACCCCCCGAATAATCAGTAAATAAGCTAAATAATTTCCATTATAAAATGCTATTAATAATAATTATTATTTAAAATTTCATCGTAAAATAAGTGGAACTTTTTAGTTCTATATTTCATCTGAATATAATCTATCCCATCTTCGCCATGCCATAATATATCTTTCTTGTGTATGATCCTTTAAATAAGCAGAGATTTTAGCCATTTCTGCTAGATTAGAATTATCTTCCCTTTTGTGTGTGTGTGTGTTTGGTTGCTGTTCAAACCAAGGAGCCCTTTTAGCCTTGTTTCGCTTCCCCACTAACGTAGCAGCCCTCTGAAGCGGCAGGCTGAGCCTCTGCCTGGGACCTTAGCTGACTTTGGGCCGTAAGAGGATTGGGGGGGGGGTTGTGTTTGGATATTAGGATAATCTTTCCGGGACAAGTTTCCGAGCGAAGCTATACCTCACTGCCCTCACCCACTTCCTTCTCCCCTGCCTGGTGGGTTTAATCCTTGTGGTGGTGTGTGTTTTCTGACAGGCCCACAACGATGGCGACCTAGCTGCTGGCGTCTCCCTGCTGCCTAACAGCAGAAACGTGCCTGCCTCTGTTGCTCCAAATCCTGGCAACGGGCAGCTGTCACAGGTGGGTGGACGTCCGCTTCTTTCAGGGCAGGGAGTCCTCTACGTACGACCAGAATTAAGCCCAATGTTCCTACTTCTCCGTTGTGAAGAGTGTGTTTAGTTCTGTTTTGCGACCTTCCTCGCCTCAGTTAACTCAGTAACACGGTCGTTGAGCGAATCGGGCTCCCCCCCCATGTGACGTCGCTGGTCAGAAGGTCGCAAAAGGGGATCGCGTGAAACCCCAACACACTGCGACGGTCATAAATACGAGTCGGTTGCCGAGAGCTCCAGACTTTGATCCCCTGAGCATGGGGGTGTTGCGACGGTTGTAAGTGTGAAAAACCGGTCCTACGTGGCTTTTTCCAGCATCGTCGTAACTTTGAACGGCCACTAAATGAACCGTTGTAAATTAAGGACTGCCTGTACTTGATAAGCTAGAGAGAAGTTCCCTGAGGATGGGCTCCAGAAGTTGTGAATGCTCCAACACGGGAAGTTTTGAAGAAGAGACTGGACAGCCACTTGTCTGAAACGGTCTAGGGTTTCCTGCCTGAGCAGGGGGTTGGACTAGACAACCTCCAGGGTCCCTTCCAACTCTGTTATTCTGTTCTGTTTCTATTCCGGTCCCGGCGACCGACCCGGATTGGATCTTGCAACATTATTCTGGAACACGTATATGTGCCTTTATTTGCGACGGTGACCGTGAAGACTTCTCTATGTCTCTCTCTGTTTTACGTGGACTGTGAAGTATAATCTTGTGGCTTCATTGCGTGTCTCTCTCTCTCTCTCTCTCCCACAGATCTGTGACACTGATCATAATACTGTGTTGGAGGAAAATAGGTGAGCGATGTTTCTTTGATTCCAGTTTCTACAACAGACTCGCTTCCACCCCATTCTCTTTTCCTGGCCACCGAACAGCAGACGGGTGGTTCCAGCTTCCTTATTCACCCCTCGTCTCTCCTCTAGGTCCCTCTCGGCTACAGAGAGTCTCCGGAAGCTCTCTGAACAGCTGAACGGCATGGTCAGCCAGGTAAGAGGCCAGGGGCCCACCTTTGACTCTCTAGGTTATTTCTCTTACGCAAAGTGGAAGCTCAGAAACAAAACCAGGGGTGTGGGGTCCTTGGTGCTATCTGAGCTGGGTCGTTTCCTTGCAGACGTTTCACGACCCAACTAGTTAACATCATCAGTACTAGAAGGGAGTGAGGTTTGTAGGGGGGAAGAGGAGGACTATGGGGTCCTTAGTGCTCTCTGAGCTGGGTTGTTTCCTTGCAGACATTTCATGACCCGTCTAGGGAACATCATCAGTGCTAGAAGGTAGCAATGGGTAGAAGCTAGCTCCCCACCCAACACTGATGATGTCAAGAACTCGATATTCAACTCTGAAGTAAAAATATTTTCTTCGCTCGAGATATATAAGAATTCCTGATAATCAGAGTTTGGAATAGAATGGAATAGAATATGGAATGGAATGGAATATGGAGTAGAGTAGAGTAGAATAGAATTGGAATAGAATAGAATAGAAAATAGAGTAGAATAGAATAGAATATAGAATAGAATAGAAAATAGAGTAGAATAGAGTAGAATAGAATAGAATGGAATAGAATAGATAGAAAATAGAGTAGAGTAGAATAGAATAGAGTATAGAATAGAAAATAGAGTAGAGTAGAATAGGATAGAAAATAGAGTAGAATAGAATATAGAATAGAATAGAAAATAGAGTAGAATAGAATAAGAAAATAGAGTAAAATAGAAAATAGAGTAGAATAGATAGAAAATAGAATAGAATAGAGTAGAGTAGAATAGAATAGAATATAGAATAAAATAGAAAATAGAGTAGAATAGATAGAATAGAATAGAATGGAATAGAGTAGAATAGAATAGAATAGAATAGAATAGAATAGATAGAAAATAGAGTAGAATAGAATAGTATAGAATAGAATAGAAAATAGAGTAGAGTAGAATAGATAGAAAAATAGAGTAGAATAGAATAGAATAGAAAATATAGAATAGGTAGAAAATAGGAATAGAATAGGAATAGAATAGAATAGAATAGAATAGAATAGAATAACAGAGTTGGAAGGGACCTTGTAGGTCATCCAGTCCACACACACACACACACACACACACACACACACACACACACACACACGTCCAAGCAGGAAACCCTACACCATTTCTGAGCAATGGCAGTCCAGGCAGCTTGACAGTGAAACAATAAAGCAGTTGTGCCAGAGGGACCGTGGCAATTATGCGTGGAAATATTTTCAGCGCTTAGCCTTTTTCAGAAGAAAGAAATACCCCTCTTCCTAAGCAGAGATCGGATTCAGGAAAATGGAACCACATTGGGAGGAGAAGGGAGTCGGCACAACCAATCAGTCTGTCTGAAACATCCTTCAGCTTATTATTATTATTTTTTTTAAATTCTTTGATGGGCTAAAAACAGCCAGTAGTATATTTCGATACAGCCTCGAAAATGCCAGTTGAGCTGTGAGAACGGAATCTGGCTTGTGCATCCAGGTCCTTGCTGTGATCCTTAACCTTTTTTTTTTTTTTTTTTTGCAGACCACGACTTACATCAACGGAGAAAACGTCCTGCCGACGGCGGATATGAAAGAGATGGCGGTAAGTCCAGCCTGTATTTTTGTTCACCGGCCCTCCACGGTGCATCCCCCTCAAACTGCAGCTCCCACAATGCCTTTGGGCACGCTGCTTGGGGGAGTTTTTTGGGGGGTTGCCTTCCCTACTAGAAGAGCTTGGGTTGGGGCAGAGGCATTGAGTTCCAGAGATGCCTCCCCTTGGCAGGAAAACACGAGGTTAAATTTGGGTCAGAATTTCAGCCGGGCCTTACATGACGGAGCTTCAAGGCTGCATCTTGAATCGGTCCTCAGCCTTGACTTTGAAATGGGATGAAGCTTTTAGGGTGTAGAAAGAGGAAGATGAGTTTGGGGTTCTTTTATTGGGGAGGAGTGGCGCAAAACTACTGAATTTCTTCCCCTCTTTTTTTAAAAAAGTGTTTTGCCTTTTTTCCCCTCCTCTCTCCTCTTCTCGTTCTTCCTCCTCCTCCTCCTCCTCCTCCACTGCTGGCTGTCTGCATGTACCCCGTCAGACCCGTTACCAGGAGCTGGCAGTAGCTCTTGACTCCAGCAATTTAACAAACAAACAACTCAAAGCAGAGATAGAGGAAATGGTAAGGAACCCAACTAGACCGACCGACTTGGCTTTGGCTGGCTGTTCTTCTCCGCTCTCTGGACTCCATCCTTTCACGGTGTCACAAGACAAGGTGTGCCGCGTGACCAGTTAACCGGCATCCTTTGGCACCTGGAACCCCAATTAAAACTTGGCTCAGGGTTACGTTTTCACACCCAGCCTGTGTCTAAAGGGCTCACCGGCCAATTGCTGACTGAGTTATCTCCGCATTAGGCCCTGCCTGGTCTCATTCGCCGCTAGGGCTTTTCTGCCTGTCTCCCAACGGCACCCTGCTTCAAGCAAGTTGACCTCAACCTGTCTGTTGAATCCCCCTACAGTTTCAATACTATTAGGAATTTCACCTTCGGCCTTTTAGTTGCAGAACTGTCGGAAAGGGGCAAGTTGGAGGACAGGCAGAAGTTTGCCAGGAGAGAAATTTGCCACGAACTAAGGAAGGATGTGGGCTGAATAGAAGCAGCCAGGTAACTTAAGAAACCGCAGGTGCTTTGGGGGAGAGGAGAAGCTGCAGGTAAAAGGATAAAGGAGTCCTTGCAGATTTTACTCCTCTAGTTGCTGCTGAGTATCGGGGGCGCTGCTCACCTCCATTTCAACGCCCTTGAACCAGCGCTGTCCGAAGACATTTCCGTGCTCATGATGTCACAGAGCTCTCTCACCTTCCCACCAAAGTGGTACCGATTTATCTACTCGCATTGGCATGCTTTCCAGCTGCTGGTTGGGCAGGAGCTGAGGCGAGGACGGGAGCTCAGCCATCCCATGGAGCTCAGGTCTCAAACCGGGGCTGCTGGCTTTCCAGCCGACAAGCCCAGCATCACAAACCAGATTCAACCCATCAGAAGTTGATTCCAAGTCAGGCAGAGTGGAAGCCGGTTCAAAAGTCAAATCCAACGCCAAGAGAGATCCTGAAACCCATGCTCACCAGAAGATAACAGCCCAGGTTTTCCATCACTTAAACTCCACATTGACTCCTTCAGCAAGAGCAGAGCTTGTTAGACCCAAATTTAAAATGAGCCGGCCCCTTCTTCTACTCTTGTGGCACCGTGAGGAAGCCCACGCGGACCGTCTTTGTCGCATCGCTTACTGCCGCTTCTCTTCCTACTTGCCGTCTTCCGTGCAACTAAGGGCTGTTTCCGGGTCGCAAAGAGGCTTTGCTGTGTTTGAAACCTTGTTTGCATGTGCTGTTTATTTTCCCCCTTATTTTTTTCCTTTGAATTCTCATTTTCCCCCCCTCTCTCTTCTCCCACTCTGGTGGGTTGTGAAGTCCTTTACGCTGGAACGGTGTCCGTATCTGGACCAGGCAGGCACATAAATCCCAAGTCACCTTTTTCGGTGCCGTGGTAATGGTTGCTAAACAAATGTTTGTCGCCTATACCCCGAAATTCATTTCTGTTGCAACACAGCGGGGATTGAGGGGGGGTCCCAGGTTGGGGTGCTTCTGCTGGCCCTGACTTTGTCACCCGAGCTGTGCTGATCCCCCCAAAAGCCTTAGCCAGCCTTGCCTCGCTTCAGAAGTGATCCTTGTGTCTCTGTTTTCCTTCTACAGAAACAGCAGAACCAAGATATTGCGAATGAGTTGGAGAAGGTAATGGAGGAAGATATGTTTCAGAGATACAAAAATGTGGTTATTTTGCTTCCCCCCCGCCTTCTATCTTCTAAACCTTTGGGAGGGTTTCAACTGCTTTACCGATACTTAATTTGTAGGAAAACCCCCCCCCCCAATCCTATGGATTGTGAAATTGCGTTTACCCCCCGGGGTAAATGTAGATGTGTAAAAATGACAACCCACTTCATATGGAACCATTCCACCCAAATTCCAGACCCAAATCTCGGTCTGAACGGGTTTTTGTAGCGTGGAGAACAAAACACACTTCCCTCCCCCCCCCTTCCATTCCTCACATTTGTGAGGCTTTTGACCCAAGTTACAGTGGTCCGATTGTTTGTGTTCATTTTCTTAATGTAAAAGCTGCTGCTTGGGGCTGTGTCAGCCTGTTCCTGTCCTTCCACGTGCAGGATAATTCTGCCATTTCGTTTGAACTTAGTCTGCTGAGCTAAGGAGTTTTCTCTCCCTGTTTTGAAAAACCTTACTCCTTTTCATTTAGGTTTTTTTAAAAAAAAAATAATAAAACTTTAGCATGTGTTTCCAAACCAGATATGGGTTAGCACGGCAATAACTGAGTCCACCCAATAAAAACGAGCGCCAGCTTAGTAGTAAAAATATAAGGGAGCAGAGACCACTCTACAAGGATTATTTCCCAGCCTCTCTTCACCAGCATTTCTGAAAAATTGTTTGTGGAAGGACTATAGCAGTGGTTCTCAACCTTTTTAATGCCGCGACCCCCCCCCCAACCGGTCGTAAGTCGAGGACTACTCAACGGGTGCAGCACCGTTTGCAGAATGGGACTTTTGGCGGGCTCAGCAGGGCAGAGACAGCCTGGACAATTCCTATTGGCTTTTGAAAGCCAATAGAATTAGACTCTATTCAAGAGAGTCTATTCTATGGGCTTTCAAAAGCCAATAGAATAAAAGGGAGTAGCACAGCTAAGGAAAAGGGGGGAAAAATGGCAGACTGCGTTGTTTGGCGACCCCCGTGAAATAGTGGTTTGACCCAAATGGGGTCCCGACCCACAGGTGGAGAACCACTGGACTATAGGAAGCTTTTAAACGCTGCGTCTGGACCAGAGCAGTTCTAGCAATATCTGAATATAATAAAGCAGTGTCTGTGATGGTATAGGTTCTCCTGCTTGAGCAGAGGGCTGGACTAGAAGATCTCCAAGGTCCCTTCCAATTCTTGTTCTGTTCTATTCTATCTTCTATATTATATTACATTCTATTTTCATATTCTACTCTACTCTGTTCTGTTCATCTTCTATATTCTGTTCTGCTCTGTTCTCTCCAGTTCATCTTCTATTTGTCTATATTCTATTCTACTCTCTTCTGTTCTATTCATCATCTTTTATTCTATATTCTATTCTACTCTACTCTGTTCTGTTCTATTCTATTCATCTTCTATATTCATCTTCTATTTTATTCATCTTTTATTCTATATTCTACTCCTATATTCTATTCTGCTCTGTTCTGTTCTATTCATCTTTTATTCGTCTACTATTCTATTCTATTCTATTTTATTCTATTCTATTCTATTCTCTAAATAAATAAATTGTGTTTCCACAGGAGAAGAAAGGGTTCGATCAGCGGTTTGCGAAGGAGCAAGCCACCCTAAGAGAACAATTGCAGGTAGATGCTCCCTTTTGGTACCAGCCTCCCATCCCTTATCCTGCCAGCTTTTTGCGACCCAGAGGAAGAAGCTCACGGTTTTGTGGGAAGCCACGTTCTGACACTCGCTGGGTTCCTGGCGTGTCCCTCAGCTCATCCCCTTCCCCTGTGCTTCCTTGAAAGGTCCACATTCAGACCATCGGCATCCTGGTCTCTGAGAAGTCCGAATTGCAGACAGCTCTTTCCCACACACAGCAGGCGGCCCGGCAGAAAGAAGGTGGGTATCCTTTAGATCAGCAGTCCCCAACCTTTCCACCAGCCCGACGTGCCTGCGCCCTCCACTCAACGCGGATGGAGCTTTGCATGCGAGCGTCCTCCGCTCACATGAGTGCGCTTGCCCAGTGCTTGCACTTGCCCAGTTTCAAACAGGCTGCAGCCTGGGTAGTGTTGGGGACCCCTGCTTTAGATTGCTGTTCTTCTATTTGCCCATCTTATTTAATCACCTGGTGCTGTTACAGACCTGATACTCCTTTCCCAGCATCCTGGATCCCTTTGCCCCATCTCCAAAGAAATCCAGTTTTACCTGCTGAATCTAGCTTTATCCCAGCTCCGTTTCCTTGTGAATAGAATAGAATAGAATAGAATAGAATAGAATAGAATAGAATAGAATAGAATGTAGAATGTAGAATGTAGAATGTAGAATGTAGAATGTAGAATAGAGTAGAATAGAATATGGAATGTAGAATAGAATAAGAATAAATAGAATAGAATAGAATATGGAATGTAGAATAGAATAGAATATGGAATGTAGAATAGAATAAGAATAGAATATGGAATGTAGAATACAATAAGAATAGAATGGAATGGAATATAGAATGTAGAAAAGAATAGAATATGGAATATAGAAGAGAATAGAACATGGAATGTAGAATAGAATAAGAATGGAATGGAATGGAATATGGAATGTAGAATGGAATAAAGGGACCTTGGAGGTCTTCTAGTCCAGCCCCCTGCTCAAGCAGGAGAACCTTTGTGATGGCACCAAATCGTGTCCACCTCTGCTTTTCTTGGAGCAGCCCGGCGGTAGCTACCGAAATGCCTCTGCATCCTGTAGACATTGTGGGGCTCAGGTGCTTTGGGGTCCTGGTGCCCCTAATCTTGTTTTTTTTTTTTTTTCTGGGACAGGAGAAGCTGAGGACCTGGCCGCTCGGCTGCAGTCATCTCGACAGAGGGTCTCCGAGGTGGAATACACCCTCTCCTCCCTCTCCGTTCAGCAGAAGCAGACAGAGAAAGTAAGCACCAGACATTCACCTCTTCTCTCCTTGCCTTCTTTGACATCGTGGCTTCCGTTTTTGTGAAGTCAGGCGTTGTTCCCTGCTCCAAACGCTTGCAAAGCAAGCAGGAATTAGGATTTATTTTAAAAAAAAAAATAGCTCCATTGGTCACACGCTTGGCCTTGCCTTTCTCAACCAGACACCTTGTTTCCAGCAGAGGCCTTAGCCAAAAGAACTTCCTTCTCCAGCTCTTGCTTGACTCTCTAGGGAAAAGAAGAAGGGCATTAAATGCAGAGAGAGCTGTTATCATCTTAGCCGCTCTGGCTGTGCAAGGCAAAATGTTTCCACTGGGGATGAGTATTGGTGAATATTCCGCTTTTCCTGGCGGATTTTGCTGCGGCAAAATTTGCTTTTAGCGGTGCCCAATTCTGCATCGCATTACGAGGTCTTGCTTTAAAAATAAAAGCCACCCAATCGACCTTTTATTTTATTAATTTTTTCAAAGCAGTAAAGGGAACTGGGCCAGCTGACCAACTTGAATTATTTTATACTAATAACAACAGATGCCGGGGAATGTGTGTATGTATATGTGTGTATGTATATATTTATATTTGTGTATGTGTGTGTGTGTGTGTGTAGGTCTTTGGTTATTCAGGTTTTCTCCCGCGTCAAATTGGAAGTGTCTTGGCGACGTTTCGACGAAGTCTCATTTGTCATCTTCAGGCTGGTGTTTTCGGCTTCGTGCTTCTAGGAGCAATGTGTGAACACAGCTACGATCACGCATTGCTCCGAGAAGCACGAAGCTGAAAACCCCAGCCTGAAGATGATGAATGAGACTTCGTCGAAACGTCGCCAAGATACTTCCAATTTGACGCAGGAGAAAACCTGAATAACCAAAGACCTACATACAAACACCCACGAAAACCTCAGAAAACACACACACACATACACACATAAAATCCTTAATTTTAAATGCCCTTCCCAGGAGCGAGATGCTGCAACCTTTCTCAATTTCTTATTTGGGGACACTTCTCCCATTGAAAGATTTGTCTCCCCCCCCCCTTTTTTTTTCTTTTAAATTGTTTTGATTCGTTTTCCTTCTTTTTGGCAGTACAACAAAGAACTAGCCAAGGAACGGGATAACCTCAAACTGGAAATGTATAAGCAAAGGTGAGATGCGTTCCTTTTGGCTTTATTGTCTGGGGGCGTTTATAGAAACGAAGGAGGGGCTTCATGTTCTCTTCGGTTGCCCCCTCCCCCTAGTAAAACCAACGAAGAACTGAAGCAGCAGACGTCGGAGTTGTCGGAGAAACTACGCAATCTGCTCTCTGAAAACTCAGCCATGAAACTGGACGTGGAAGATTTGCACAAGAAACTGGAAATGGCCGAGCTGGTGATCCAGCAGGTATCCGCGTTATTGTAACTACGAGTGGTCCTTGAGTTAACAACCACATTCCCCTGGGGGGGGGGGAAAGACTCACAACCAATCACAGCATCCCCACAGTCACATTGTATTAGCTTTTTTTTTGGCTGCTGCTGGCTCATCTTTTTTTTAAAAAAATACGTTTCATTGATTTTTTTTAACATCATCACCTTAATATTTGGTAAACAGCGTGTTGTCTGGGTTTATATTTAAAAAACAAAACACAATAATTCGTTTCTATAATTCTATAGTCCACATAACAGGTTTTGCTTGATTTTCCCTTCTTCCAATAATATTCTTAACAATTCTCATTTATTTTGATAAATAGCAGTTGGATGTAAACATTCTTCTAATATTTCTGCAAATAACAGCCACATCAATATGAAGCTTCTTTTCTAACTGATCATCTTGATTGCCTCCTCATATATCCTGTTTACAAAATTCTTATTTATATTTATGTTCCCCACAGTATTCAAAACATTTTTACCAGTTAAGATTTTCTCAAAGTTAATTACGCTTGAGTATTTAAGTCTTTTTCCTCATGCAGGCCATCCCAACACTTTTACATTTCTCATATCTTAAAAAAAGAAAAAGGAAAAAAAAAGAAGAGATAAGATAGTATGCTACTTAAAATAAAATCCCTCTTAGGTTAATATACATTTATGTCCAAAGTTTTCTCTTCTTTTTAACCGTGGCTCATCCTTAAGCGATGGTCCACTAGGACTCCAAGGGCCCTCTCAAAAGTTACTGTTTTTGAGCCAGGTTTCGCCTAACCTGTATTTGTATCTTTGGTTTTTCCTGCTCAGGTGTAAAACTTCGCTTTTCTCCACATTAAATTTCGTGTTGTTGGATAGGGCCCATTGTTCAAGTCTGTCAAATTCTTTTTGGATCCTGAGCTTGTCTCCTGGGGGGGGGGGTTGACTACCTGTAGTATTCCCCCAGCCCCCAAGAACTGTATGAAGTAGGCTCTGCTAAGCCACCTAATTTACTGTTCTAACTAATGCACCAACCCTGGAGGCTCACCTTATAAATCCCTTCTGGATAAGGGGAGAGAAGAAGATGGAACAAGAAGGACTCTACAATGATAATATGGGCAAAGAATTTTGGACATACTGTAGAATTAAAAGAGTGGCAAAAATGATGGGAAAGAAAAATTAACTAAAGCAGGGCATATAAAGAAAACCTATACAAAATGTTTGACAGATGGCACATGACACCAGTGAGACTAGTGAAAATGTTTAAAAATACTTCAAACAATTGTTGGAAATGCAAACAAAGGCCAGGGACTTATTACCACATCTGGTGGATATGCCCTAAAGCAAAAAGGTATTGGGCTAAAATACATTTACGGTTGGAGAAGATGACTAAAAAACAAATACACTTTGAACCAGAACTGTTCTTGTTAGGAATAATGGGAGCTAAGTATGAGAAAAATTGCAGATATCTAATACTACATGTATTAACAGCAGCAAGAATTGTATTTGCCCAATATTGGAAAAATGAAAACTTACCAACTGAAGAAGAACTACCGTATTTTCCGGCGTATAAGATGACTTTCTAAAGCTTGCAAATCGGCTCCAAAGTTGAGGGTCGTCTTATACGCCAAATTGTCTTATACGCCGGAAATTATGGTAGTTTCCGGGGTATAAGACGACTTTCTAGGCATGCAAATCGGCTCCGAAGTCGGGAGTCGTCTTATACGCCAAGTCGTCTAATACGCCGGAAAATACGGTAATTAAGAAAATTCTAGAGTGCGCAGAAATGGATAGATTGACTTTAGAGATTAAAGAGAAAGAAGACTCAGTCTACTTTAGGACATGGGATAACTTTTACCAATGGCTAGAAAAACGAGTCAAAGAGAAAGGAATGTGACATGTAATTTTGAATGTATATTAGTAAGAAGAAGGCTACTGAGTGATTAATTAATACTGTTTATGATCATTAACTACATCGATTATTCTTAGTTAAATACACGTACCCAGATAATATGTTGTTTGCTAAATATTGAAAAAGTTACCTTGGAAAAGCCTAACCCAAACCCCAATCCTTATCCCTAACCCTATTAAAACTAATAAAATTTATATTTAAAAAAAAGGACTCCGATAATAGTGTGTGTTTTTTTTTTTTTTACCCCTCTGCTAGTTTTCAAGCCAGCCAGGGATCTCGGATGCCGCTGCCCAGCAGCTGCAGGCAGCCCTGGAGGAAAGAGCCAACCTAGAAAGCCAAATTGCCCAGGTAAGGTGGACGTCCAGAGAGGATGCCTTCTGAAAGAGCCCGGGGATTCGGCCTCGGTGGCAGTCGTCCTCGGCAACTCTTTTGGTAGAGTCTTATTTGCACCGCCTGTCTCTTCTCTTTCCTTCTTCCTTGCTGAACAGCTGTCAGAGTCTTTGCAAAAACTGCAGACCGAACGGGATCAATACGTCCTGCGGCTGAAGGAGGAAGGGAGCATCTGGCAGCAGCGGGTCGAGCTCCTCTCCGAACAGGTAAGGTTCCTACGAGGTCCCTCCAGATTCTGTAATGGTTTGGAGGTTGCCCTTCAGGCTGGCACAACTGGGTTTCCCGCAGGTCCGGACTCTGACGGGAGAGAAAGAATTCAGTGAGACTCGGATTGGGGAGCTGGAGACCAATCTGTCAGAGTTGCTGAGCAGTCAGTCAGGTAAATGCTGGTGTTCTCGACCCCCGAAAGACCTCCTTCCAGTCACCCGATTCACCCCACCCATCTCCTGAATCGGGGGTGACTTAGTGTCGCTGGAGACGGTCTTGGCTCCAGCGGTTCAAGTCCCAGCGTTGCGTGAGCTCCCGTCACTCAGCTCAGCTCCTCCCCAGCTAGCAGTTCGAAAGCATGTTCTGTGCGAGTAGATAAATAGGTACCACTCCAGTGGGGAGAGGAGCCGACGCTTCAAGCGGACGGTTAGAATCCTGCTGGTGCTGGGCCGTCCCAGTTGCAGTGCCCCTTTGCAAGGCAGCGTTGGTGGACAGAGAGGGCCTCGGATGGTGCTGCAGGAAAACCGTCCCGTCTTTCTGGTGCAGAACTAGCTCGCCCCCTCTGACCCATCTGTCTCAATCAAACGGATAGGGCTGTCTTGGGCAACCATACCTACTACTACCATGTGCATTGCCATTGTAGTAGGCTAAAAAAAAAATTCCTGAATCCAGCAGTCTTTTCTTCAGTGGTAAGATCCCTCTGCTGCAGCACGTTGGGTGCTTGCTCCAAGATGGTGGTCAGGGATGGAGTGGGAGGGTCTGGAGAACCATCCTGTTTCCAGCTAGGCTTGCCCCTGAGTTTCTGGAGAAGAGTTGCCTTGATCCAAGGGCGTGACTTGTAAATAACCCGCCTTTCTTCTCCCCTGGATTCCATAGCGGTGAAGCCCCAGGAGATTCAGCCCGTCCTTGCTGCCCCGGGGCCCTCGCCGACTGAACTGCACCTTCAAGAGGAGCTGGCTCGGCTGGAGAAGGAGAAGGAGGAGCTGCTGGACCGATGGCAGACCCAGGTGCGAGACAACGGGCAGCTGAGCCAACTCAACCAGGAGCAGGAGGAGCGGCTTCAAGAGCTGGAGAAGGCCTTGCAGCGCCACAGCGAGGAGGCCGTGGACAAGCAGCAGATCTTGGAGAACATGCAGAGCGACAAAGCCACCATCAGCCGGGCCTTGACCCAGAACCGGGAGCTGAAAGAGCAGCTGGCGGAGCTGCAGAATGGATTTGTCAAACTGGTGCGTGTCTCTCTCTCCCCCCCCTCCGAAGCCGACATCCAGCTGTTGGCGATCTACACATGTCCTCAAGTTACGACCGTAATGTAGCCTGCCCATTACGATCGTATGTCTTTTAACGATCGTCAAATGGGTCAGTCATGCGACAGACCTCTCTCAGTTTTATTCTGGACATAACCACAGCACTGTTGCAAAAAGCAGGCACTCTTAAAACTGCCAAAGGGGGTTGCGTTGACCCCGGCCTGCCTCTTTCTCCTCCTCTCCTTTCAGACCAACGAGAACATGGAGATCACAAGCGCCTTGCAGTCTGAACAGCACGTGAAGAAGCAGCTGGCCAAGAAACTGGAGGAGCTTCAGGAGAAGCTGTTGGACTTTAAGGAGAAGGCAAGGCTGATTGCACTTCTGGGGTCCAGTCCAATCCAGTCCAGTCTGGCTCTTCTGTTTTTATCCTGGGAGCAGAGCTTTTTTTTTTTTTTTGCAAAGGTGGTGGCTCTTGATCTGGGGGTTAGGCTGCATAGTTCAGCTTTCCATCAAGAATTTGGAACTTCTTGACTGTCAAGCCATCGGCTCTCCAAAGCAACGTGGTTTGCTTGTCGCTGCAGTCCTCAAGTCTTGAATAGGGTACCTCAGCGTTGGCCCCTTTAAGGTACTGTATATGCCGGCATACAAGGCGACCCGGCATATAAGACAACCCCCGTCTTTGTTGCCGAGCCGCATTCCTAGAACATCTTATACGCCGGAAACTATCAGTATTTCCGGCGTATAAGACGACTCGGCGTATAAGATGACCCCCGTCTTTGGCGCCGATTTTAGCGCTTGCGGAAGTCGCCTTATACGCCGGCATATACGGTAGGTGGACTTCAACAGCCAGGATTCCAGGTTGACTGGGAAACTGGTTGGGAGTTGAAGTCCACCGGTCCTAAGAGTTGCCAAGGTTGAGAAACTCTAGATTTTGGGGGAAGCAATATTAATCCGCTTCTTAAACGTGGGAACATGAGTGAGATGCCGTCAAACTGGGGAGAATTATGGGGGGGGAAGCTAGGGAAGGCTTAAACCTCCTTCATCAGGTTTAAGCTTGACCCTAGATCAGTGCTTCTCAACGTTTGTGTGACGGCGACCCCCGTCACACAAACGTTCTGCGCATGCACGGCGCCGTGCGCATGGGCGGCGCCCCCCATGCGCGGCACGCATGCGCGCCCCCACGCGCGGCGTGCGTGCACGGCGCCGCCCCACGCACGACGCGCATGCGCGACGCCCCCCATGCGCGGCGCACGTGCGCGGGCCGCCCCATGCACGGCGCGCGGCGCGCCAAAAAATGGCGGATCGCCGCCTTTGGCGACCCCAGAAAAATGGTCGATCGACCCCAAATGGGGTCGCGACCCATAGGTTGAGAACCGCTGCCCTAGATGCTCTCAGGAAAGCTTCCCCTCCTGTACGTAGTTGTGGGAGATGCTGGAAAGGGGTTTTTTGGGGCGAGATCTTCGCTTACTGGGTCTTGTTCCATCCAAGATGGCCCAGAAGACCCACGAAGCTCAGGATCTCCAGGACCAGAGGGACCAGTATTTGGCCCACCTCCAGCAATACACCGCAGCCTATCAGCAACTGACCACTGAGAAGGAGGAGCTGCACAAACAGTACCTCCTACAGACCCAGCTCATGGACCGTCTACAGCACGAAGAAGTCCAAGGAAAGGTGAACGCCGAGATGCACTTCAAAGAGCTTCAGAAAGCTAAGGTGAGGATTTGACCTCCGGAATCTCTTCCGGGAAAGCCAGCAGATAGATCTAGCTAGCACTGATGATGTTACTCCGTTGGGCCGTGAAACGTCTGCAAGGAAACAAGCAAGCTCAGAAAGCATCAAGGACCCCAAGGTCTTCCTTCTCCTCTTCTCCACAAACCCCACTCCCTTCTAGCACGGATGATGTTACCAAGTTGGGTCATGAAACGTCTGCAAGAAAACCAGCTCGGAGAGCATCAAGGACCCCATAGTCCTTCTCCTCTCCAGAAACCCCACTCCATTCAATTCCAGAGTTGCAAGTATTTAAAATTGAAGCAGGTGGAGCCTCCTTCTGACACGTGGAATTCACCCTGGCAAAGATAATTCAGTTGTCCTGACGCAAGAGAATATTCGTCGCTCGGGGTTAAAATGTGGCGTTCTTGGCGCCCTCTGAGCTTGGTGGTTTTCTTACAGACGTCTGATGACCCAACTAGAAGGGAGTGGGGTGTGTGGGAGGAGGAGGAGGAGAACAATGACTGTGAGGTCCTTGGTGCTCTCTGAGCTTGATAGTTCCCTTGAAAACGTTTCATCAGCCAACTAGGTAACGGCACCAATGCTAGAAAGGGTTTGCAGGGTTTGCTCTCTCTTCTTGCCCTGATGCCGTTCCCTAGTTGGGTCATGAAACATCTGCAAGAAAACCACCCCTCTCAAGAGAGCACCAAGGACCCCCACCTAAGCTTGCCTCATCCAGATTCTGCGCCAAGCAGAAGCTGATGGTTGTGAAGGATTAACATACCTTCACATCTTTCCTTCAGCACCAGGGATATTACTTGGGCTTTGCCAGTCACCGTCTGCAGTAGAAAGTCCAGCACGAAGGGGACCTATCTGAGGAAGGGCTGCTAGTTTAGAAAAAGCTGGCTCTGGCGAAAACAGGAGAGGTCAGGGATTCTTAAGATTTCTCCTGGATCCACGTTAAGTCGAAGGCCCCCAAGAAAGACCTTCCTGTTCCCTCTTAACAGAAAAGCCTGGAGTCCTTTTCCAAAGAGAACACGGAGCTCCAAGCACAGGTCAGCCAGCTCATGGCCGAACTGGACGAAAGGATGCTGCCCAGGGCTCAAGGTGACTACGATTGGGAATTGGAGAGGACGCCCGGACCGGCAAATCCCAGCTAGGAGGGGGAGAATTCCCTAACAACTCTCCTTCGTGGCTTTGCAGGGGATGGCGTGGAAGCCGCGGAGTTTGTGGACTCCGGGACTTTTCTGCTCAGCATTCCGGAGGATTTCGAGAGCAAAGAGGAAATGGTGAGCCTCCCGCCTTCTCTTCCCTGGCCGCGATCACAGGACCGCCGGGGTGATGCGGGGGTCCTCAAGGCCACGGCCAAAGTCATAAGTTTGGCTTTTTCCAACGCGCTCATAACTTCGGCCGCTAAACGGACAGTCGCAAGCCGAGGGGAGGACGGCCGTGAGAACAGCTGGGCTGTAAGGGAGCACCGGTCCTAAATTCCCGCCCCCGAGGGCCGCAGAGTTTGGAAATTCAGCCGTCCCGCCCCGCTAAAACCGCTCGGCCTTCCTTCCTTCCTAGGTGGCGTTCTTGACCTCCGCCGTGTCCCGAGCGGAGGGCGACCGCGACGAGATGAGGCGGCAGCTGATGGAACAGAAACGACAATGCAGAGAGCTCTTGCAGCAGATGACCGCCCTCAAGAAGGAGCAGCAGCTGCAGCTCACGTCCACAGGAGGTCGGAGGCCCACCCTTAAGTGGGAGACCCCCCTCCCCACCGGCCTGCCTCCTTGGGCCGTGACTGCCGCCTCTCACACTCGGCGTCTCCCCCTTTCAGGCTCGGATGGCGATTCGGTTCCGGGAGAGGTTCATGAAGCTTTAAAAAGTGCCATGGAGAAGCTGCAGGTGAGTTTTTTTGGGGGGGGGGGGCTCTCGAAAGGATTGCTGACGTTACGGTAACTCGTAATGGGTGGGTGGTTTTCTCGCAGACGTTTCACGACCCAACTAGGTAATGGTATCAGGGCTAGAAGGGAAAGAGAGAGAGCATAAACCCTGCACCTTTCTGGTACTGATGCTGTTACCTAGTTGGGTCATGAAATGTTTTCAAGAAAACAAGCTTGGAGAGCACCAAGGACCCCCACAGTCCTTCTCCTCCTCCTCTCTGCACAGTCCACTCTCTCCTAGCACTGATGATGTTACCTAGTTTGGGTAATGAAACGTCTGCAAGACAACCACCAAGCTCAGAGAACACCAAGGTGCCCGCAGTCGTCGTCCTCCTCTGTCTCCTCCTCTTCCTCCTGCCTCCTCCTCCTCTGTCTCTTCCTCTTGCCTCCTCCTCCTCTTCTTCTTCTCTGTCTCCTCCTCCTCCCACACACCCCACTCCTTTCTAGTTCCGATGATGTTACCTAGTTGGGTCATGAGACGTCTGTAAGACAACCACCAAGCTCAGAGGGCGCCAAGAACGTCACAGTTCAACCCTGAGCTGCAAATATTCTGTTATGATCACTGAATTATCTTTGCCAGGATAAATTCCACGTGCCGGAAGGAACTGGCAACAACTCAGTAATCGTAAGGTAGCCCGTTACCTTTCAAGAGGCTCCAGGTCTCTGCTTGAAGAGCCATTTTGAAAATCTCTGGCCTGCTTCTCATTGGAAGCAATGAGAAGGAAGTCCCACTTCCATCAGAACCACTTCCTAACTAGCATCCTTCGGGCGAAGATGCTTTGAGGATAATCCTTCCGGGCAGCCTTGTCAGGAGAATTGTGGCTGCCTTCCCCCCCCCCCCTCCAATATTTCACCCACGCAATCTTGTCCACTTCACTAGCTCCGATTCACGGACCTGATGCGGGAAAAGGCGGAGCTGAGGGAGCGCATGGAAGAACTGGAACACCACTGTATCCAGCTGTCCGGAGAAACGGACACCATAGGTAACGCTGACCCATCTGTCTGATTGTGTTGGCCGCTACTAAATCTTGTGTTATCACGGGGCCTTAGCCAACAGAATGAAATTCAGCGGTGAAAAAAGTAAGGTTCTACATTTAGGCAAGATATACATATATATATATAAAAAAACAAATGCACAGGTGTAGTACAGGTGGTGTCTGGCTCAATAGTAGCAACTGTGAGAGGGATCTTGGGAGTCCTAGTAGACAATCCCTTAAATAGGAGCCAGCCGTGTGCTGCAGCTGCCAGAAAAGCCAATGCAGTCCTAGGCTGCATTAACAGAGGGATAGAATCAAGATCAGGTGAAGTATTAATACCACTTTACAATGCCTTGGTACGGCCACACTTGGAATACGGCATCCAGTTTTGGTCAACACAATATTAAAAAAAAATGTTGAGACTCTGGAAAGAGTGCAGAGAAGAGCCACAAAGACGATTAGGGGAACTGGAGGCTAAAACATAAAAAGAACGGTTGCAGGAATTGAGTTCATCTAGTCTAGTAAAGAGAAGGACTAGAGGGGGCATGTGAGCAGTGTTCCAATATTTGAGGGGCTGGCAAAAAGAAGAGGGGGGGTCAAGCTATTCTCCAAAGCCCCTGAAGGCAGGACAAGAAGCAGTGGATGGAAACTGATCAAGGAGAGATTCAATCTAGAACTGAGGAGAAACTTCCTGACAGTGAGAACAATTAACCAATGGAACAACCTGTCTCCAGAAGCTGTGAATGCTCCAACACTGGAAGTTTTTAAGAAGAGACTGGACAGCCATTTGTATGAAATGGGATAGGGTTTCCTGCCTGAGCAGGGGGTTGGACTAGAAGACCTCCAAGGTCCTTTCCAACTCTGTTAAAAGATGAAGTTGGTATCAATGAAAGGAACCCCACAGTATCTTTGTTCTCCTAACCTTGCAGGCGAATACATCGCCCTGTACCAGAGTCAACGGGCAATTCTCAAACAGCGCCATCGGGAGAAAGAAGAATACATCAACCGGCTGGCTCAGGACAAGGAGGATATGAAGGTCAGCCCCAAATCCACTTTCCTGGCTGTTCCAAACAGGATTTGACCCTTTTAAGTCGGGCCCAGCCCAGGTGGGTCCTGGACTGGGTCCATTCCACCATTTGCAAAAACCCTTGGTCCTTATTTAAAGCATCGTGTCTTAGTTTTTGGGCTACGTACAATAACCTCTGGGGTGTCTTCTTTGAAGAGCTGGCCTGCTTAGGGCAGAAGTGAGTTCCTTTTAAGTTGTGTGACTGTGTGTATCTCTGGAGGTTCTCAGTCCTCCAGGACATGGTTGTGTTCCAAAGGTGCCTTTTTCAGGAGGCAACTGGACTTTTTTGTTTTTGAAGACGTTTCGCTTCTCATCCAAGAAGCTTCTTCAGCTCTGACTGGATGGTGGGGAATGGAAGGATTTATGTTCGTAGCAGACACAGGGCAGAAAACACCCGGCAGAAAGCACAGCTCCACAACGCAGCCTTTTCAGCGGTGCCAGGATGGCTTCACACCCATTTGCTCTACTCAGAGGACCCTCAGGATACAGTTAAACCTCCAAGCGGCCTCAACGACTCTCTAAAAGGATGCAAATGACCAGCTGTCTGCAAGGAGTATAAATCTTTCCGTTCCTCACCACCCAGTCAGAGCTCTGGGATGAGAAGCGAAACCTCTTCAAAGGAAAACAAGAAAGTCCAATTGTCTCGTGTGTGTGTGTGTGTGTGTGTGTGTGTGTGTGTGTGTGTCGTTGTGTATACTGTTGCTGTCTTTCTGCTCTTAGTCTGAATAAGAACAAAGACCCTCTGCTCCTTTCCCAAGTAGCTTTTCGAGTGACTTAGCTGGTGCCAAGAGAAACGGGACAGGCAGACAGACAGACAGACAGACAGACAGACGGTGAAGCTGAAGACTCATGAGGACTAGCCCCTTACAGCTTAGCTACAGGAAGTGGGGAAATGGGCTTTCCTCACGGTGGAGCAGGGTGGAGGAATCCTTTCGTGGGCGGCTGCTTTCCATTTTCCCCGTTAGGTCCTTTTTTTGTTGCAGATGAAGTTACTGGAGCTTCAGGAACTGGTCATGCGCTTGGTGAGCGAGCGTAACGACTGGTACACCAAATACAGGATGGCCACACAGACAAGGGACGACGGCGCCAAGGCGGACGGCGCCTTCGAATCGGACGCTTCCAAGGTGGCAGGTGAGAGGCAATAAACTGGGGAGGGGGGGAAGGATTCCTTTTAAGGGGCCATCCTGGTCAAGGCCCCATATCTGAATTCATGTCCCTCCCCTGCCTCACCCTGCCCTGTCGTTATGACCTGGCTGGGGAATTCTGGGAGTTGAAGTCCGCACATCTCAAAGCAGCTAAGGTTGAGAAGCACAACGTTAGGCCGTGCAGCTAATCCCCGACTTAACGAGAGTTCGTTCAGTGACCATTCAAAAGTTACGACTGGAAAAAAAAGGGGATTTACGAACCGTTTAACAGCAGTTAACAACCGTTGTGGCATCCTCCTGGTCGATATTCAGATGCTCGGCAGCTGGTTCGTATTTATGACGGTTGCAGGGTCCCTGGGGAGGTCACGCGGCCCCCCCTGGCAAGCTAAGTCAAGGGGAAGCGGGATTCACTGCAAAGCTGGGTTACTGAAAGAACAACTGCAGCGATTCGCTGGTGGGAATGGCCCTAAAAGCGGGGCAAAAGTCTCACTTAGCAACATCAATTCTGGCCGTACCTGTACAACACCGCTGAAGCCCCATTTCTCCCCCCTCCTTCCCATCCCCTTCTGCCTTCCAGACTTGAAAGAAGTGAGTCTGGCGGATGGGCCAGAACCGGACGCCGTAGCTTCCCGCTCCCGCCCGTCCCACAGCGACCCCGAGAGCCCCCAGCCCGCTCCTCATGACCCCACGGCCCAGCAGATCCTGCAGCTTCTCCGCGAAATCCAGAGCCCGCAGAACCGGATGGGATCCCCCTCGGAATCCCCCTGCATCCCCTTCTTCTATCGGGTGGATGAAAACGACGAAGTGAAGCTCCTGGTGTTGTAGCCAGGAAGGGACGTCGAGAGTTCCAGAGGGGGTCGTGTGGAGCGGGCTGGGCTGCCTCGTGGGCAGGCCCGGGTGGGCTAAGCTTTGTGGCGGATCCCACGGTCCTCCAGTAAAGCTCAAGAGGTTTCCGCCACCGTTAGTTCCTCCCATTCACAGCCTGTGAATTTGGATTCTCCCTACCGCAGTTGCTTCCGGCCTTCTTTAGATCGGATCTTTACGCTCTCCTTCCAAAATCTTCCCCTTTTTCTTGCCTGATCCCACGACCACCCCTCCTGGCCTTTCCACCCCCAAGGGTTAAGCTGGCTTTCGCCTTTCTTAGCCCAAACGCCGTCTCTTTCCCCTGCCCCAAATCCTCGTATTTCCGTTACAACATTCGAATGGGCTCTGGGTTCCTCTAAGCTGGACGGTTCGCAGGGGAGGGGTTAAAAGCTGCGTTTTTTTTTAAAAAAAAAAAACTGGATGTACCTTTGCATTTGAGGTGGTGGGTTTTATTTATTCTTTTTAAGAAATGCAGAAGCCGAGCTCAGATAAAAAAAGAACAGACTCACGGTTCGATTCCAGCTGTCTCTCTCTCTGTCTCTCACGGAATCTCTTTTCTCCTGGGTTTGGCCAAGGTTATTTCAACCGTCTAGGGATTTCTAAATATATTTTGATTGTTGTCGGTTTCCCTCCTCTCCATCCGTGAGCCCGTATGCGGGGGCTAGACGGAAGAATCCACTGGTGAGCGTGTAAAAGAAGTGGATCGGTTTGATTAAAGTTGGTGGTGACTTGGTGTGCTTGGCACAAATCCCGTTTTAGAAGGACAACGGCACGTGGGTTACAAAAAGGTTTGGGGTGGTGACTAGTGGCGTGGGTTTTTTTAGGTCAGATATTCTGCTCCCGGGGATGAGACCCCCGCAAAGTTGTGTTTTGCACAGGTTTTCCTTCCGGGACAGCTTGCTGGGAAAAAGTCGACCTAAAGCACAGAGGGAATTTCGAAAACCCAAAAAAAAAAAAAGCTTCCGCTCCAATTTTCTAGCAAAACCGCACGTTGACTCCCCACGTTCTCCCAGACTGTAAAGCAGTAGGAATTGGACCGCACAAAACGAGAACACCCGGAAAACTGGGACAGTCCCGATTTTCGGCCCGTCAGTGTTACTCATTCCCTCCGTGCTTTGGGTCAGGAGGCTGGTGGAAGTGGGGGCGCGAGCCGCTCTTGGCACAAGTGTACATATTGTATCTGTGTAACATTTTGTATATACCTTGAATAATAATAATTAAAAAAGAGAGAGAGAGAATAAGCCACTGTCGGCATTCTCTGGTTGCCGGAAGGCTACCCTCATAACCTTATATGATATTTAAAAAAAAATAACTTTAGTTGAGGTGGGAGGGGCAAAGCAGAGCAGGAATGTGATTTACTGTAGAATATTATTCCATATTTATTAGGTGTGGGGGTTTCCGGGGAAGGTGAAAAGCAAAGGAGGGGAAAAGCAAAGCCAAGAGCGCCAACTTTTTGCGTTCTGTGGCGGAGAGAAAATATATCCTGTTACAAAATTTGGTCTTTCTGAATAAATCTGTGTCCCTTCATTCGGCGTTGCACATTGTTCTTCTGCAAACCATCGGGGTGTGTGGGTGTTGTGTTGTTGTCTGCCAAACAAGCTTTTCGAGCACAGTCTGCTGACTTGCTGCAGATAATCCTCGACTTAACAGTTTGTTTAGTGCCCATTCGAAGTTACAACCGTTTTTCACAGTTACAACTGCAGCGTCCCCCATGGTCACGTGATCAAAATTCAGATGCTTAACAACTGAACTTATATTTATGACGGGTTGCAGTGTCGCTCGGGGTCATGTGATGCCCTTTTATATTCAAAGTTTTGTGGCTGACAAAGAATTAAAGGGAGATAGTATAGCTATTTCAAGCTCTTTAGCTCTCAACAGCTAGTCTTACCCCTCTGGGATTCGAACCTGGGCATATATATTATTGATTTTTTAACATAATCACCTTAATATTTTGTAAACAGCATATTGTCCGGGTTTATATTTAAAAAACAGTAACAATTAAGTTTTTATAATTCTATCGTCCACATAGTAGCTTTGCCTGATTTTCTCTTTTTCCATTAACATTCTCTTTTGCCAGCCTTGCATTAATACAATTCTTACTATTTGGATAAATAAACAATTAAATATAGACAATTTTTCTAACATTTCTGCAGATAATCACATCAGTGTAAAGCTCCTTTTCTAACTGATCGTCCCTCGTCATAGATCCTGTTTACAAAATTCTTGTTTAGGTTGGTTTTTCCCCGCAACGTTCAAAACATTCTTAACCGGTTGAGATTTTTCTCAAAGTTAATTACCCTTAAGTATTTAAGTCTTTTTCCTCATATAAGCCATCCCAACACTTTTACCTTTCTCATGACTTTAAAAAAAAAAGAGAGGAGCAAAAGAAATAAGAAGAGAGTATACTAGTTAAAATACATGTCCCTCTTAGCCTAATGTACATTTATATCCAGAATTTCCCCCCTCTTTTTAACCATATTGAAACATACGTTTAATCTTTTCATGTTCCATTTAATAAATCCAATTATCTAATCTTTTAGATCTGTTCAAAACATTTTTATCCATTAAAGTTTTCTCAAGATCAATTACAAGCAAAGTCACAATGAGGGAAGCTAGATTCATTTAACAAACAAATTACTAATTTATTTAACCTCAGGGATTCCCTTAACCACCAGGGTTGTAAAACGGGACAAAAATCACTGTAAAAAAAAATATCTCACTTAATGGAAATTTTAGGCTTGGTGGTCATAAGTTTAGAACTATCTGCATCTTTTAAAAAAAAATCACAGTGTGGGGGAGAAAAATGCTATTCATGCATTTTCCCAGCGTGCCCCACTTGGAGGTTTAAAGAACAGCCTGTTCCTTCAGTTGTGTTAAAGTTGTGAAATTACTTTCGTTGTGTGTTTGGCTGCTGTACGAGATGTAGCAAGACTTTTTCCCTCTGCCGTAGTTTTGGCTTCTGCTCTTTTTTTGGCAAAAGAACAATTGAGAAAGAAAATGTCGGTTTAACCGCTGAACTGTGAACTGAGCTAACCCCGAGTTGATTCAGGTTGATCCTCGATCTTTGCAGCTCTTTTCTCTTTGCCATCTGGCTCATGACATGTAGGTGATCCCCCATATTGCGTTCACACAACTGGCTTGGCCAACTTAAACCACTTTCTAAAGATAGTACGATGCCTTGCATCTGAAAAGCTGAAGTTAAAACTAACCGAGTTTGTCTTCTGGAACAAGCACGCCTGTTGCGTGAAAGACCACCGCACAGTGTGCTGCAAATCCAAGTTTAATAAATGAATGAAGTGTGTTAGATCCCTGACGTGTCTTGCAGCGAAGACTCCCCGTCAAATATGACATGCAAAAAGAACCGAGAGAGGATTTTATTGAAAGTATGACATCTCTCTGTTATACAGAAATAATTTATTTCAGCCAGTAAACAAAAGATGACAGATCACACTTGGCATTACAAGTACTACCAGGACTGCAAAAAATCACCCACGATTTGGGTTACACTACATTTTTATTAGGTATGTGTGTGCGTTTGTGTGACACACACACATATACACAAACACACATCCTTCCTACTCAAGTATTTGCTATAATCAACAGTGGAGGCATTTAAAGGCTTTAAAACATCTGGACACCATATAGATTTAGATCTTTATATATATATATATATTTATATAGATATTTATAGATATTTATATAACAGTAAAGATGTGTTTCATTACTACAATATAACTCATTGGCTTTGTTTAAAGTTCCTTTTAAGCAACAAGGAAGAAGGAAAAAAAGGGGTGGGGCAAAAAAAGTCACTAGAGTTGTATCTGATATGTGCAAGCCACAAGCTACGACAACAAAGCTGTGGTTTTTTCGTTTTTTTTTTTTTTTTAAAGATGTGCATTCGATCATTCCAGGACAGGACAGCTAAGAGGCAGATAAAGGACGGATGATCAGGGTTATATGTCAAACGATGCCTTGGGACTCTCCGGACGAGAAGAACTAGCTTTGCTAGGCCGGCTGGAATTTAAAAGAAAAAAAGACAAGGGGAACAAAAGAAGAAGGAGAGGATAGGGGGAGGAATAAAAGAATTGAAACAATAGTTAAAACACAGAAAGGAACAGACATCAAAACTCAACTCAAAACCACTTGGATCGAGGAACGTAAAGTGGAAACAGGGTTGACTTAAAAGTGGCTGGCTTTTGGAGAGACAGGAAAATGGCAGACTTTGTTTTTTCCATATTTATTCCTAAATGGGTCACAGAGCCGGTGCCGAAGGATGTCCAACTTGGCATTGAAAATGTCCTCTTTTTTTGTCTCTAATGAAATACGTATGGCCTGCATGCAAGGAAGCAAGTGGAATCACCAAAATACTCAAGACATCAACACATTTTTGAAGAGGTCCTTGATTTTTTTTTTTTTTGATTTTGTTTTTGTCAGAAGCAAAGCTCATAAAACATTTACACCACAAAATCTCCCTCTTTTTTTTCTTTTTCTTTTTTTTGGGGGGAAATATCAGCTGGTTCGCTCTGGCTGAGGAGGAACTAGATTAAGCTTCGGTCTCTTAATCGGACGTTCTCTGTAAGAGGTCATGTCAGAAAGCTAGCTGAAGCCACCAAGTCTCTGAGCTCCTTGTTGGGTCTCTCCAAGAATGGAGGGTGACCTCTGAACGTTTCAATCCATCCGATAAGATCCTCCGGAAGTCTGCACCATCCAGGAAGCCCTCCCTGGCCACCAAACCAGTTGGCCCTGCTTGAAAAAAAAAGGGATCGGGCCCCCACGGCTGCACCTTGAATCAATCCCACTTCTCAAGAACATGAAAGCATTCCAGTCCAGGTTCTCCAGCCCAGTGTGGTCCTCCTCAAAGAGTTTCCAGCACAAGACCCAAATGTTTCTGTCTTTACTACAGTAAAGGGACAAAATGGACTACGTTGCTACGGATTAGGGCTACAGTTGACCCAGGCAGGCAGGATACCAAACCCAAGACGACTTGGGTACGTTGAGGCACGGATGCTCCTGTAAGTCTACACTCCGGAGAACTCAACGGCATTCACAATTCATGCCCTTCAACTAGGACTACTCTAGGCTCACAAGCAATACGGACGCACAAAAGAAGACAAAGTGGTCAATCACTAAACGAGCATTTTTTTTTTTTTGAAACCACGTGGAGGAAGGGGCAGAGGAGCCGAGGAGATGCCTCGGGCAGATTCTGGATTGACAGAGTAGAGGGAAACCCAGGCAGGGGGAACTTGTCACCAGCTGTCTACAGGCCTTGGGTTATAAATCTAAGAGGGAAGATTCAGCTGATCGGATTAATGTGGCTCGTGTAGGTGAAGCGGGACCCTTGCGGCTGTGAAGGCAGAAGAGATAAAAGAAAGCAAGAAGAGAAACACACAGACGGAGATTAGCATGGTGGCTAACTGCAATTGGTCATGCTTCTCACCACCTCACCTCGGCCAGGACCACAGATGTCCGGAACAGCAGCCATTCACCAGCTTTTTCACCCCTTTTCCCATCCAAATTGCTGATTAAAGAAGTTCTAGTGACTAGTGGATGGAATCCGAGGGTCGGTGTTCTACTAGACAGAATCCATCCAGGACTTTCCCAGGTCCCACCACGTGGAAGGTGGTCCTGGCACCTAGATGACTGTTGAGAAGCATGAAGCACAACTATGGCAATGTTGTTTGTCCAAGCGCATGAAGAAAAATGTTATTTGAAATGAAGGTGCCCTTTGTGAAGGGCTGCTTTTGAAGTTGGCAGTTAGTCATCAACCTGGGCACTTGGTGCAACGTGATTGCTGGTCTGCACCTTCTAGGGGTTTTGCCCATTCATAGACCCCTTAGTCCCAAATGGCATCCCCCACACCGTCTTCCATCCTTCCTGGATGTGAGGATCCCTCCAGGGGGGTGGATGAGGTGAGGTCTTTCCTGGAGAGAAGCAACCATTGAGTGATGCTTTCAACTCGGCTACAATTTGACTGGATTTACTAGTGGATTGGATTTGAGGTGAATGCTAACTAAGTATAATTTAAAAAAAAAAAGTAATTGTGGAAGAAAGTTAAGGATATCTGACTGAACAAATCTAGACCACCATCTCTGAAGGCCTCCAAGGACATCTTCATTAACAAGGTGCCTCTGTCACCAACTAACTGGGGTTCCAAGAACATCATGGCTATGAGCATGTAATTTTCATGGCCATAATATGAAAGGGTCTTCTGGTGTATTTTTCAACTTCCCAGCCTAGGCTACTACCTTGGTCTTCTAAGATCAACCAAGGTTGGCTAGGTGCTGTGGCCTTCGTGAGCTCTTCTGGTCCATCAACCTCAATTTATTTTGGGAGATGACAAATGGATTACATTTATTGGCTAAACAAGAACTTATCCTATCAGCTACTTCTTCCAATGAAGCTCCGTTGACTTGTAGGAGAGACCATGTGGCCTTTTCCAAGTCATCTCAAATTAATTTTCTCAGGGTGTCCTGCAACCTTCGGTGGTTTTGAAGAGCAGGTCCCAAAAAAGGGCAGCAGCTGAGCCTCTTCAGAAAGGCCAGCTCTTGTAAGTAGTACAACAAAATCTGGGAAGCCGTGCCTGAATTGAATTGGATGGACTAGAAGCCAGGAAGTTACCGTGACTTAAAAGACCCTTTCAAAGAATTGCCAACTTTCATCTATTGGTGGGTTGCCATGTTGCCAGTTGGGCTACAAGCCTCTGTTGTAGGATAAGGAGGGATCTAACCACAGGTGTGGACTGGTGGAATGAGATATATTGGAGATGAATGTGCCCACCCATATACCATTGGCCTCCCCCTGGTTTTCTGTTTACACAAGGACAAGATCTCACATCCCATTAAGGTCTGGAGTCCACCTCATAGAAGTTGGGCTTCTTAAAGTAGACTTTTTCAGCATTTCTGTGAAGGGTTTTTTTATTATTATTCCAAGCCCACTGCTTCCTTATCCAATCTCTCTGTCTGTCTCTCTCTGTTTTTATTAGGAACTTTTTAGAGAAAAAAAATCAAAAGCAAATGCTGGTGTCCTCTCACATCACATTATTCATCATCCAGTTGTTCCCGTTGGAGAACTTTTAAAAGGAAGCAAGTGTATTAAAGACTTGTGCTTATTGGGGAAGGGGGGAGGAGAATCAAGGTAAATTCCTTCTTGTTGTAATTTTTTTTTTTTTTTTTTTTTTGCACATAGATGTGTACAGACACATACTCTCTCTCACACACGCAAAGATTGGGCAAGGACTTGGCAATCTAAAAATGTCCAGGAGAGGAACACATTCATGCAACTGTAAGCAGAAATACACAACGCATCACATTTATGCTGGTCATAAATGTTGACTTTCTTGGCTGCAAATGCTACAACTGTTGGCTGATTGTCCGTATTCATTTTTCAGTGCTTTGGACCTCCAAATCGTAGAAAGTAGGAGCTTACGTTCATCCAGATGTTGATGGACTATGGTTCTTAGAAGCTCCAGCCAGTCAAACAGATAACAGGGCATGTTAGGAGCTGGAACTTACCAATAATCTGGAATAATTCTGTTTCTTAACTGTTGGACTTTTGACAGGGAAAAGCTGCAACAAAGGTTTGATACTCGGCATCAACGAACCGCATTACAAAAAAGGACCGCTCTCAAGAGCTTGGAATCTTCCAACTGCTCTAGCTTAATTTTGTAGAATTTTATAGGGCCTATTCAAGGTCTTCCCACCATCTGTGTTTCCCTCAGATTGTGGGAAGGGTGCCTGAAACTGTTTGAGGGTGCTAGGATGGGGTGTTTGCAGAAAAAGAGAATAGATGCAGAATTGGGGCAGGCTCTATAGTGGAGGAAAGGAGATTGGGTATAGATGTCAGAAGAAAAGTCATGAGGGGAACTGACGCTGGAGGCATTGTCTATGCCTTCTGTGGGATGAATGGGGGTGATGGGATATACAACTGGGCAGCACCTGATTTGGGAAAGCTAAGCTAGCATTGAGCCCTTAGGGTAGTGACACTTTGTCATCTGCCAGTCCTCCCTCTCTGGAGTTCGTGGGGTTCAACTGGCCATCTTCTTGTCCTATATAATATTGCCACACCACTGATGCTGAAGACATGATAAACTTCAGTGTTTTAGAGATGAGAAGATACACAGGAACGGCAAAGGACGCTACGGTTCTAAAGTTCTCCCTCAAAGTGGCCTTCAAAGGGTGAGATGATGGCTCTCCATCCTCCTTAAAAAGAGAAGTTGAGAGTCAAGCTGCCCTAGGGTGCCATCGCCTAAGGAATGTTTTTCTACCAATGTCAATAAAACACACATCCATAGCCCATTGTTGCTAATCTACTGGAATCTGGGGGCACATTAGGAGATGAACGCTGGGAATGACTATATACAAACATGAGAATACACACCAGGAATCAAAGTTGTAGGGACCTGGGTTGCAGTTTTGTGCTTGGGACTCCAGAAAGCAATATTTCAGGCTGAGACCACAATGAGTGGATCAAAGTTGGGACTTTCACCCATGTTTACAGGAATGGACAATGGAAAAGACTTCTCTGTGTCCCTACAAATGATGTCTTGGCTACTGAAGATTTTTCCCCGGTTCTCCAATAGCCAAGAGGTTTGTAGGCCAGATGGAGAAAACAAGGGCATCCCAGACAGACCCCCATACTGGTCTAGGAGAGGCGAGTGGCAGAAGGGTGAGAGGGAACGAGATGGAGAGGCAATGGGGCGAGGAGACAGAAAGGTTAAACCACACCGACTCGTGCATCAGCGGAGGCCGGGGTGAATACAGCGAAGAACGTACCGGTCTCGGCCAGTCCTCAAGGGTCAGTGATAGTGATTCTGAAAAGACAACATGAGAGCAACAGGGCAGTTCAGACACTGAGGCAGAAGGGTTGGCAGCTTGGGAAAAAAACGCATGGGCTTGTGGACCCCCATACAGAGGCTGGTGAGAAGAAGCAAGGTGCAGCCCGTGCTGGCACTCACCCCAAGCACACAGAAGAAAAGCAGGTAGAAGTCAGAAGACACAGCTATAAACCACTGTGCAGCGGACACAGAAAGAGACAAGGGGTTCCATGCGGCCATTTGGACTCACACTACCCGGGAGCACATAAACAGTGGACACCCAGGCCAAGAAGAGGTTATCAGCAGTTGGTTTGGACTGGGGTAAATGCACACCTGCATACTGCAACACTGCTTGACAAAAGCCTCATCACCGTCAAGAAAATGAGGTCTCTTACTGTGGCCCCCAATTTGGTGTCTGCTCGGCATTGGGATGACAACTTACAAAACCCAATGCAATCTGAGGGCCCTGATTCTGTAGACGGGGTCTACCCTAGGGCATGTGAGGGCAGGAAGATGCCTTCAAAATACTCATCCCAAGTATTCCAAAATAGGAAGGTAGAATAATCCTGGATACAGACAGATTCACACACACACAGAGACTGCAACGTTTGATGTGCTTCTTCTCAATCCCATTCCAGGCACCATTTTTTCCTCCCAACGGGAAGAAAAAGAACCGGGGGGAGAGAGAAAGAAGGACAAACAATGACAAAATGAGGATGGTGGACTCCTGGCAAGAGGACAATGCCATCTGGCAAGGGTGGACCAACTTAATTCTATATACAAGAGATGGCCTAAGGAGCCTTGGTGTGCCATCTCAGGTGTTAGGTTATGGTGGGGGAAGGAATTATAGGAAAGGAATTAAAAGTGGGAGTTGAGGGAGAGAGAGAGAGAGAGAGAGAGATTCTGCACCCACTTGATTTGGGAGATCAATCTTAGAGGTGAATTTGTTTTTGTAGATCCCTTGTGAGATATAGTAGACCACAACCTCTACTGAAGGATTCCACCTGAGAAAGGCTAATGTCAACAGTCATGGATCCAACTCTACTTCTCATGAAATGGCCTACCTTGGGGATATGTTTAAGGGGAACCCAATCTCTTGGTGACTAGCTGCACACAGTTACCTCTTGAAGGTTGTTCTACATATCTTACAAGGAGTGATTTGACCCATTTGGACAAAAAAAAAAAAAAAAAATGGGAGGGGAGCTGCAAATTCTTTTTCTGTAGCAGCTGGAATGTAGAGTTAGGTTCCAGAAACATCTGTACAGTGCAAACCAGGAAGGAGCCACAGAGTGATTCCCTACATCTCTTTCGTGGTACGTGGGAGAACTCGGATGAGGATCAAGCTAACGGCAACTTCTGACATGTGACTCAAACTTTCATGGGGCTATGGAATGGGGCAGTAGGTTTATGACTCTGAAGGGAGAGGGAGACCTGTTGATTTCAGGCCCCCCCCCCCGGAGTCTCCTGCCTGTATATAGAATATATAAACTGAATGAAGGAATGGACAACAGGGTAGAGAAATTGAAGAATGGAAACAGACTCTGGAGAGGACGGATACTGAAATTCAGCCCAAATGGAAGTAAAGGATCATCCACAAGAAATGGGGGAGGGTGGGATGGGGGGGGGAAGGAAAGGAACCAGAAGATGGGATGAGATGGAGGAAAAATTAAAACAAGGCTTGCGCAGAAATAGCAGGACATGCAGACAAACAGACGGACAGATGGCAAGCTGGTTAAAAGAAGAAAGGGATAGAATAATCCCCTGCGCATCTGGAAAACAAGGCAGTAAGTGGGAATGCTGTGGATCGAAACAACCATTGGCACAACACAACGCGGCTTGTTTGGCAGGGAGCACAGATAGCATAAACCAGCATCCTGCACCGTTTCTAATTCATCCCCTCCTGTGCTGTGGGACATCAGGTGGTCTAAGATCTGAGTAGTGATGGATGGACAGAGCCTTCCCGTCTGATCCACACCCTCCCGTGGAAATATATATATGTATTTAGCAGAAAACTTGGAAAGACAGTTTTGCAAACGTTGCCGAGTTTTTCTACCTCTGCAAAGCCAGCAGGAGTCTTAAATTTAAAGTTGAAAGCAGAGGTGGTCCTTATTTTGCCGCTTCCTTGTTTAGTGAGCATTCACAGTTACAACAGGGGTGCAAAAATAACTTTGCCACCGGCCCTCACATTTAAGGAAATTAAAATCTGGTGACAAGAGCAGTTGGGGGGGTCCAACTTAGTGACAGCTTCGTTGCCAGCCCCAACTCTGGTCACTAAAGGAGGACTCCTTCTTGTCTTCATACATGTGATAAAGAAGCAGCACTCAGAAAGATGTGCCTCCGGGAGATAATCCAAAACTTTGTAAGGTGAGCCAGAGAGGAAAAGGGAAACAGGAAATTTTAATTTTTGAAGCAGTGCCTTCGTTCTCTCGGCTTTTCTAAGATCGCATAAGCATCGGAAGTGTTTACAAATCCTGGAGAATCGGTGCCTAAATGAGAGAAATAAGCAGGAGGTATGGAATCCCCCCCCCCGAGAACCAGGAAACCTTTAATTATGCACTTACCTCTAGGAGTTTTTCTTTGCAACCAAAATATAAAAGGTGCAAAACAACATTTATACCCTTTACACAGATACCGTTTTATAGAACCCTACTTGGTTTCGGTGTAATTCAATTGAACGGCAAACCAAAAATGATTTGATGTGCATAACGGCAACAATCCCACTGCAAACAGGCCTCATTTCCACTGGATCCAGAATGATAGACTTCTCTTAAATGTGTCTGATTCCCTGGAACTGGATTATATTTAATTCAGCAGGAGGTTCCCCAAAGTCTACACATTTAGGACTGTTCACCAGAAGAAATGTGTCGTGATAATTCGAGGATGTTCTGTTCTGCAGGACAGAATTCTTCTACGCTTCATTTTACAATAACATCTTTGGTTTTGTGCTTTTTCAGGTAGAAATTTGCAAGATTTCCCCCCAAAATATCCATCAAAGGCATTTTCTGCTCTAAAGAATGACCATAGGAGAACCAACCCAGTTCCCCCCACTTTAGATTCTGCCTTCTACTTAAAACCTGACAGATCTGTTTTGCCAAATGAGAAATTCTCTGGATTTTTGAAATTACACAACACAAAAGAAGAGGGCTGCAATACCATCATTACTACCCTCTAAAGAATCCTACAGGTGCCCAGGATAGCAAGTACTGGCCCTGTTGTCACATGTGACACAACACGCTCAACGATTTTGTTAAAAGGATGCTAATTCTAAAACTGCTAAAAAAATAAAGTCACACTTTGAGTGACGCTGCCTATCCCATGTGGCCCGATCTCACCTACCTTGGGACCCCCGGAGGCGCACGGTTGGGCCGCGAGGGGACTTGTGGGGGAGGCCCAAAAGGATCAGGAGAGGCCCCCGGCCTGGAAGGCACAGGGGGAGCACCACCGAGGCTGGGTCCACCAACAGGCGGAGGTCCAGGAGCTGGTCCTCGTGATCCAGGTCTGGTGGGTGGGACTGCCGGTGCTCTTCTCTGTGGTGTGGGGCTGGAGGTGGGAGACCTGCCAAGGGAGAGACCGGTCAGCTGGAGAAGTAGAAGAAAAAAGATAGGAAGACTATATGGTCTTCTCCAAGCTGGAAAAACGGAAGCTGTTTTCACGGGGAAATTTGTGCATATGGCCTGGTTCACACTTCCTTTCCAACCACCTTTAGTGTTCTGGACTAGAAGAACAGCTGTCCTTGATGGGTTCCACCCAAAAAAGCCTTCCGTACTCCACTTGGCTCTGCCCCTTCATGCAATCCTACGGACGCCATGCTCAGGGCAGGCAACACAGAACTCCCAGCTTCCATCCATCCCGGTTCTACCGGGGGCGGCCACCTATCTGGCTGGGCAGAGGCGCCAGGAAGCTCAGCGGGGCCTCCCCCCGCGCCTCGGGTACCTGCGTCCGGACGGTATGTTCTGCACCTGCAGCCAGGAGTCGTCCACCGGCGGAGGCAGCGGGGTGCTGATGGTGGTGGTGTTGATGTCCCCGATGATGTTAAGGGCCTCTCTCAGGGCGTGATACATGCGCAGCATCTCGTCACGTCGCTGGGCTTGTTCGGCTGACTCTTCCATGAGGGTGTTCTGGTCACCACAGGAGTAGAGGTTGGCGAGCAGCTCGGAGTGGATGAACTCCTTGGTCTGCCAGAGAGGAAGCAGAAGACAAAGGTCATTAATCTGGACAGCTGTACAACGGTTCCTCTTTGGGGTTTCTTGTTTTTCTTTGAAGACGTTTTGCTTCTCATCTAGGAAGCTTCTTCAGCTCTGACCGGATGGTGTGGAATGGAAGCATTTATACTCCTTGTAGACAGCTGGTCATTTGCATGCTTTTAGAGAGCCGTTGGGGCCACTTGGAGGTTTACATGAGTAGTGCAAATAGGTGTGGAGCCTGCACCCGTCTTCAATAGGGAAGGGACCCAGGGCAGAAAACATCCCGCAGTCAAGAAGGGTCCACATGCATCTGCACCATTCAAGCAACCCTGAAGACACAGGTAAACCTCCAAGTGGCCTCAGCAACTCTCTAAAAGAAGGCAAATGACCAGCGGTCTGCAAGGAGTATAAATCCTTCCATTCCCCACCATCCACTCAGAGCTGAAGAAGCTTTAAACCAATGAGTAAAGAAACCCAATGGAGTAATAATCCTGCCTATACAAGAACATGTTTGTGAACTAACTGAAGTTCACTCCATTCCACCGTGCTACCAGTCTCTTTTTTCTGCCCATCTTCTAAGCTCTAGAGCTGGCGAATCACGATATCATATATTATTATTTTCCTGTTCCTTCCTCATCAGTGTTCCTTGTTCTCCATATCTGTTGAGATGGAAACTCCCAAGGCCAACAACTTTTTTTTTTCTATGAATCAACATGCTGCTCCAGAACCTTCTGCTTTTAACTCAAGAGGTGGCTCCAGACCAATCCTAAAACATTATAACATCCAGTGTGTCATATGCCATACGTACATTGTTTATCATAAGGTGCATGATTGTCTTGGGCATGAGGTCACGGATGGTCTTGTTGACGATGGCCATGTAGGAATCAACAAGGTTCCGGATCGTTTCCACTTGCCTCTCTAACTGGGGATCCAGTGAATGCATTAAGCTGTCCGAGCCGTTCTCTTCTGACTCCCCACCCTGCAGAAGACCGATGGGGAGACAAAGCAGGCCGTTAACCACCAGAAGCCAAAGAGGAACTTGGTTCAAAGTCTCTCATCTCCTACTTCCCATGTAGCCTCTCTGATACTTCCCTGAACTTCTAGATAACAATCTTCATTAGCAAGGACACCATAGAAAGAGGTTAGCGTTAGATCCGAGGCTTAATCTGGACCTAGGTTGGAGACCCTGGCTTTAAACCATCATCTTCCTTTGCAGTTCATCCAAACAATTTACGGAAGAAAATAGAGACTGTTCTTCTGAGATATGAAACTCGATTTTATAGAAGGAGACGTTTTATCAGAGGTCTCTTCTGATAAAACCATCACTCCCTCTTTACATCTGTGTTCTAAACCATGGCCATTTTATGACTTGTGGACTTCAACTTCCAGAACTCCTGAGGAATTCTGGGAGTTGAAGTCGACAACTCATAAAGTAGCCAAGGTTGGGGACCCCTGCTTTAGAACACAGAAGGTCTGCAAAGTCAAATTCGGATCGAGAACTGGGATTCAGGTTTTTTTTATTTCGATTCGAAAACCAGAAAACCACTTCGGACCTTTCTGCCGACCTCTCTCCAGATTGTATGAATTTGTTCGAGTTAGCCTGAGGAATGAAATCCACGCTTCAATCTGACGTTGTAATGGTGTTTGGATTTAGCCTCTAAACCTATCATTTGTGTTATTATGTACGTACCTTGCAGGTCCCGAGGACCAATGATTGGGAAACTAGATATTATATATATATATATATATATAAAGGAAACAAATGAGAGAAGAAAAAAATTGCGTCTTTTTTTTTTCTTTCTGATGTAGCGTAGAAATGGGGAATATGTTCCAGAGAAGATGAAAAGAGGAAAAAAAAAAAGGAGCATTCTAGAAAGAATAAGAAATAAAATCAAGCAGGCAACATGGTATGAAGTGGACAGAAAAAGAGGGCAAAGGACAAAGTTTGTCTCTTAGAATATAGGGATAATAGTTTAAATGAAAGGGGAAAAAAGGAGTTTAAAAATGCGTCCAGTATATATAAAAAAAATATAATCCAAAAGAAAACAGCGCAGGAAAAGTAGGGTCCACCACTTACTTTATCTTTGTCCTGTGAGGCCAGTTTGAGCACACACACAAAAAAAGAAAAAAAATGTAATTTTTAAAAAGTAGGTAGGTATATTTCCTGACTTAAGTATTCAGTGTACCCATGGATATAGAATTGGAATGAGATTTCTACGCAGTCAAAACGCAATCAATTAAAAATAAAATTGGCTCAGGGGCAACATTGGAAGACCTTCGAGATAAGGTTTGGTACGGATCATTATGGGGAAAAAAAATCTATTTAGGTGGTCTTTAGGCACCGAGAATGATTTGATCACACATCATCAATCATTCTTCAATCTGAAACATCACTTCTTTAACACAAGTGATTCACTAGCAAAGCCATTTTCTCAGTACTGGTATAGGATTGAACAGCAAACAGACAAAACCTATTTTAGCAGCCTTAAAACAGAACACTTGGACGGGGAGTGCAAACAAATAAAAATAAAAGGAGACAAGGAAACATTGGTTAAAAACTAAAATCTTAACCAGAGTACACAATGTAAGGTGGAGCTAATGAAGATGTGCTGTCATTTCAGAGCCTCACAAACAGATGGCGGTATTGTCCTGGTGGACCATTCAACAGGGCAGCCCACCAGTTAGGCTTAAAAGCTCATATTGGGGTCTTTTCTCTCTGGCCCCCTCCATGCATTTACAGAAAAGTCTTGGGAAAAGACGTTTGCAAGAGTGCAATTCATGTCCTCGTGCCCTAGATTCTGCTCCTGGGCGATGCTGGGATGTCCAACCTTGGCGACTTTGAAGACTTGTGGACTTCAACTCCCAGAATTCCTCCAGCCAGCCAGCTGAGGAATTCTGGGAGTTGAGGTCCACAAGTCTTCAAAGTCGCCAAGGTTGGACACCCTTGCTGTATATATGCTCCCAATTTTAAACCGGGAGGGACCTACTCAATAAAATTAGATTTGTCCACCATGGATGGTGTCCTGCAAAGGATGCAACTTTCTCTTTAAAGTAGGGGAAGGGAAGAAGGTTAGATTTTTTTTCCTCCTGTTCTTGGTTTTCACCCAAACCAGTGATCTAAACCAAACACAGAACTAAGTCTGGTTTATCTGGCGTCTCAGTGAGATGGCTTCACCTCCTGCTCATGTTTCATTTTCCACTGCTTCTCAACTCACCCCAACACGTTCTGGGTAAACGCCAGCCCGCAGGAAGGAGGCCTTCCAACTGTCTACCTCTTCCTGGGTTTCACACGCCAGCTCCAGTTGACGATAATCTTTGTAAACATTCCTGGGTGGTGGGGAAGGAAAGAAGGTGAGACATTGCGTGGACTTGCCGACTTACTGAGGTCTTCCTCTTAGGCTGGGACAGAAGAAAGCCGTACCTTTGCTCTGTGTTGAACAGCGCAAAAATGTACTTGCTGGACATGAAGCCTTTCTCGATATCTCGCACCTTCAAGTTGTCCACCGGAAGCATGTACTTCTTCTCTTTCTCCTGGAAGACAAAAGCCACGGACCCCAAGTCACGTCAAAACTAGACCCACCAAGACGTTCTACAGCTCTCCTTATCTCTTGGTTGAAGATTCTGGCTGCCATGGTCCCAAACATCTGGTGACTATTTTTACGGTGGGATGGGATGGATGCTGTGAAGGCTACAAATAGAAAGCAACAATTTGGGGATTTGGATAAAAGCCTGTGAAGTGGCTCATTGTGAGGATTTTGCCTTGGTGGGACTTCCACACTCAGCCCAAAGTGCCCACAAGGACCTTTGATCGTGTGCAATCAAATCCAACCCTCGTTTGTCTTACTTCTAGAACCCTAATTAAGAGAGACTGAGTACTATTGCAAGTATCCTAAAGGGGGATCTTGTCTTCTACAAAGACTATCCAGGAATCAACTCTTGGCAGGGTGTTTTATGCTTCATGGACCTTGGACTGGAAAAATTGAAGAGCTGTGATTGCTCACAGCAGGAAAATGAATGGAACGAAGACGAAAACCACATTAAGAGTCCCAAACGAGTCCCACAAGACTCGTTTGGAACAGTGGCCTCCAGCTTCAAATGGTCCTGCTTGCCATGAGCTTGTCCGCTCCTCCATTAAAAAGTCTCCAAACATGCAGTCACCCCAAAAGAGGGTGTGCCCCGGATTCGCACTGATTGCATTTTATTTTAGAATCATGTAGCCACCAGCAATTTTCCTTCTGCAGTTTTAAAAGATGCAACTTCTGCAGCAGGAACCCAAAGAGAGAGGATGAGCATGGAAAAATGGCTGCCTTATTTTTCTCAGCACCCCACCCCTTTCCAGGGCAGGTTTCCAAGTCTCTTCCAGATGTTTGGGGTCTGACCTCTTAAATCTTGGAAATGGGGCTGAGGGCTGCTGAGCCTCAACTGCTAGTAGGGATCAGGCTGCTGTAGTCAGACGTGGTGCATACACGGCGTATATCTCAAGCCCAAATATAAAATAATTTTATTAGTAAGAAAGGACTTCCACTGAAGGATCTATTGGGGAGAATGCATTGTTGAGATGAGAAATCATATAGAAATACAAGTGAAACAAGACTTGAATAAAATGTACATTTAAAAAACGGTATTTGCAATGTCAACTTCTTATAGAAAGAAAGAAAAGCTATATAAAATGTTTTATAGATGGCACTCATCACCAGCAAGATTAGCAAAACTGTTTAAAAAATATGTCAGATAGATGTTGGAAATGTAAACGTAAGTCAGGTACTTATTATCATATCTGGTGGACATGTTTTAAAGCAAAGAGGTACTGGACAAAAATACATACTTGCCTAGAAAAGATGTTGGGAAAGCATGTAGATTTTAAGCCTGATTTTTTTTATAATGCCAGAAAAGATTGATAAACAAAGTATATACTTGATTTTACATGTAATAACAGTGGCAAGAATCATTGGAAAAATGAAGAAATACCACCAGAAATAATTACAAAAATACTAGAATCTGCAGAAATGGACAGACTCACTTTGAGGTTGAGAGCAAAAGAAGAAACAGAATACTATCAAACTTGGGATTTATTTTATCAGTGGCTGGAGAGAAGAACAAAGGATGAGGAATTAAATTTGTATTAGTGAATGATAAACTCAGACAACACGTTTGTTGAATAAATACTATTGAACTATGAAAAAAAACAATAAAAGCTTCACAAAAAAATTAAAAATGGTATTTGCGTTGAACTAGAGCAGGGGTCTTCAAACTTGGCCCTTTATGACTTGTGGACTTCAACTCCCAGAATTCCTCAGCCAGGCAAGCTGGCTGAGGAATTCTGGGAGTTGAAGTCCACAAGTCATAAAAGGGCCAAGTTTGAAGACCCCTGGCCTAGAAGCTGGAAAGAGAAGGAAGACCAAGAAAGCAACTCAAGAGATTTATCCAGATCTACAGCATTTCCCTTATTTGCATCGTCCAAAGATTGATTCTATCTTGGTTATCTCAGACAATTTGTCTTCCTCCCTAAGAGGACGGGGTGGGGATTTATGTCTGCCTTTCCCAGGACCAATCTGGTGGAAATCTCCCTGCTCCGAAGCCTCTCCAAAACCTCAACTATTCAGCTGCGCTTCCTGGCAGCTCCAACTTGGTCTGCCTGGTGATTAAGAACCCAAGTGAAGTGTTGCAAACTCATTTCATAGAAAGTGATGGTCATCTAAATGTTTCCAGATGGGAGAGAAGTTTGATGGTTCATCAAGAGGTCTGGCAAGGACCACAAAGCCGTAGCCTGATCCTATGGAGCTGGGAGTCCACAAAAAAACGTATCGTTTTGGACAAAGTCAAATGGAGAATTTGGAGCGCCACACGGAAGCTCAAGAGGACAAGAACCAAAAAGGTCTTCTGGAAGACACCCAGATTGTCCTGCTCCTTGCTAGAACCTCATTCCAACTTTAAGGGAGGAGAGACATCCTAAAACACCCACCCTCCAGAAGGCAAACGGAAGGACTTTCTTCTCAGTTGAAAATGTTTAGCATCTCGGCTTTGTCATTTTTTTTTTCCTGGGTTGCAGCTAAGAGGTTGCGTAAGCCAAATTATGGGCTGCCTCCTCCTCCTCCTCCTCCTCCTCCTCCTCCTCCTCCTCCTCCTCCCTTCTTCTCAATTTCTGGAGGCCCAGAGGCGTCCTTCAAAATAACAGCAAAGCTGGTATTTGGCTTCCCAGCCGGCTGACTTCCCATTTGAATTTTTTTTTTTCCTCTCCTCCAAACTAAACATCACGTTACTGATTAATTCCAACCCTTTTCCAGCTTGCCCACCCAGCCACCCGTGTGTGTGTGTGTGTGTGTGTGTGTGTGTGTGTGTGTGTGTGTGTGTGTAGCTCAGCGTCTGAGCTCTTCTTTCTAAGAGCTAAGCACCGAGAGATTTGCAGACAGCAAAAGCCTCGCGGAATTGCACCCAGTGGCTAGAGGAAAAGTCCGCGGATGCTTCGGTTCCATTAACGTGTCTTTTTTTTTTAAGTAATTCACTCTCCTCCCCAGGCATTAGAGCTAAGCAGACATGTGTCAGACACGTGTGTCTTCACGAATCAAACCTCTCTGCATGTAAGCTGCTATGAGTCCATCCAGACCTGATGGGCGTGTAATCAAAGTACACTTCTGTTGGAGAAAAGGACTAAAAAAACATATAGATGTTAAGCCCAGGATGATTTTTGTTAGGAATAATAGGAGCAAATTATGAGAAAGACTGCATGGTATTTAATTTTACATGTGCTAACCGCAGCAAGAATTGTATTTGCCCAATATTGGAAAAAATGAAAACCTACCAACAAGAAGAAGAACTAATCGAGAAAATTTTGGAGCGTGCAGAAATGGACAGACTGACTTTAAAGATAAAAGAGAAAGAAGATCCAGTGTATTTTAGAACATGGGATAATTTTTATCACTGGCTAGAAAAAAAGAGTCAGAGAGAAAGGAATATGATATGTGACACTGAATATATACTAGTAAGAAGAAGACTATTGAGCGATTAATTAACATATCGTTTATAATTATTCATTGTTTTTTAAATACATGCCCAGACAACATGTTGTTTGCTAAATATTAAGAATGTTATTTTAAAAAATCCTAACCCTAACCCCAACCCTAACTCCGATCCCAACTTAATATAAGACTTGATGGCGTGTAATCAATTAATTCCACAAGTCAGATTGTACAGTAATTTTATGTAGGTTTTTTTTTGGGGGGGGGTTGCATGTAGCTTCGATGTGGTGCCCAAGGATCACCCTCTAAAAATTAAGGAACAGGAAAAAGGACATCCCCAACATGAGTGGACTGAACTGAGAATGCAACTCTCTTTCGGGGATTTAAATATTTCCCCCCTCTCTTTCAATATAAACCAACATTTAGAGTTTGATGGCATTGTGGGGATTGGTTCACAGTACGGCAAAGCTTTCCAAGCGGGGGACCTGTGCTAAAAGCCCGGTCTGAATTCATACACAACTGGATTTCCTACAAGTGGCTGCTCTCTTTTCCAAAACCTCGACGTGCTCCATCACAAGACCGTGACCTTCAAAACCTCTGAGAAGACACTCAAGTTTTGCCAAGAGGTCTGGACCACCCAAACAAGGTCAAACCCGGAGCCAGGGGAATCGATTTCAAAGGCTTCAAAAAAAATATATATATGTGGCCTTCAAAACATCAGTTGAAGTTACCCACGTTTGGTCTGGACAACTCAGCCCAGGACAAACTCCCGAGATGAGAGAACAGATTTCAAACGTTTCCAGGTTGACCTGAAGCTGGTGAAGCTACCACACAGCTCCAGCATCAAACTCGCCTTCTTTTTTTTTTTTAAGCTCCAGTGTAGCCCACCCGTCCCCGTCTCTGCAACCCCCCCTGGCCTCTCCTGTCTCCCCTTCCAGCCCAGCCTGCTTTATATCAAGTTCTCTGACTTCATTGCCTAACGACAGAGAGGAGAAAGCGACGGGGTTTTGCAAGCAAAGTTCTGGAGAGGCCAGAGGGTTTTCAAAGGGGCTGCCCCCCTCTCCCGCCGCCTTCTGCCCAGGTGTTAGCAATCAGTCTGCCTTGTGCGTGTGGTGGGGCAGCCCCACCAAGCCTGGAGAGGGGTGGGAGAGGGTCTGTCGGCAGGATTAGGGCCGACGAGAAGGGAGCAGACCTCCCCTTCTTGGCCAAGGACCAGAAAGCCACACTTCATTGTTCATGCTACAGGAAGATGTCCCAGGGTTGGCGGTTCTGAAAGGCAGGATTTGGGTGAAGTGAGATACGTAAGAAGCGCTGTTGTATCCTAGGACCAAGAGGTGTGTGTTTCTCCTAGGACCAAGACGGAACCAAAGGGAGGAGGAACATAACGTCTGAGCTCCATGGTGCATTTGTAGAATGCAAACGGGGCCAACGTGGATTGCCACCTATCCTCCATTTCACATCTCGAGATGTTCTAGATAAGGAATGCCACCATACTTCACATCACTGCCCGGTTCTGGTTATAGGTGTCTTTCCAGTTAGAATGACGGAAAGACGCCAAGTCAAGAAGTCCAGAAG